ATGTGTCTGCTCTTAAACAAACGTCAACTGCTGAGTGGAGGGGCAGAGAGAAAAGACTGGGTCTTTTCTCTCTGCCAATACTATTTATAAATCATGCCTCGTGGGCGCCTTCTGTGGTCCTTGCGGCGACTGTGCGCCCGTGGACATAGGGTTGGTGACCCCCGATCTAACCAATCAATTATTGCACAAAGTTAGATATTTACAAAAGCTGTAGGAATGGGAAACACTGCAAAAGATTATTGGTACTTTCTCAATACTTGGAAACCGTGGTTGAGCTTCCCGTAAGTTGGTGACCCCCGGAGTTATATGACCCTGTTTTTAAAGAGTTGAATACAATAGTTTTTTTTATTTCTGCAAATATAATGTTCCACAAGAGCATGTGGGAGATTAGCCGATGCTTCAAGCCCCTTGGATTCTAGAGGAAGTATAGACCTTTGGCCTGGGGTCTCAACCTGCAGCTCGCCACCTTTTTTCAAGTAGCTCCCAAAGGATTTAGACATTTGAAATCCACAATAGTTCAAATGATATGTTTCTAATGGCGATAACGACTATTAATATTTCACTTTATTGCATTAATAAATGGATAAAGCTTACAATTAGATACTGAGACTCTTGAACCACTTAAAGGAGTAGCTCTCTGCCATTTTTGCGCTGAAAGAAAGTAGCTCTTTGTGGAAGCAAAGGTTGGCGACTGCTGCCATTCCTGATTGGGACGCCCTTTTCCGTCAAACGACCAGAGCCTCTCGTCTACTGAATAAACTGGGCGTTGTGACTGACAGTCGTTCGCAGTAAACAATAGCCCATCAGCATATACCTCCTGACAGTGTGCGGAGAGAGAGAGAAGGAGGAGGAGGAGGAGCAGGCAGCGCTGGGAGGCAGGGCTGGCTAAAGGAGCGCTCCGGACCAAGGTGTTCTGTAGCTCGGGGGCTAACGGTGATAAATGAGTCCCTTAATGTCGGCAAACACTTTATCTCTGCTTCATCTGTTTTCATTAGGCGGGCCCAACCTTTGCCTGGCCGGGAACGTGCTGTAACTTTCATTACGACGACAGCCAAAGCACAGGGAAGCAGACCTCCCATCGGTCCAATAAAAACAGCAGCTCCGAGTGCGCCATGACACCTCCTATTCCTTATTATTACCACGCCAGGCCGCAGTTATAAATGAGTGTCCTCCTGTAGCTTCTCACAATGTTACTATACTGTCCATCGACCAGTATTGAGTAAACCTTTGCATTCATTACGGGATTATTAGCTGCATCTCCTCAAATGTGGTTTTCATTGTTGGACAACGGTTGGGTTGGGTTGACATTACAGGATGAAATTGGGTTATTGTGGGCTAACAGAGGAAAAAACAATACCGAAAAAGTATATTGCTCACAGTTTCAAATCAGTCCCTTTCTTAGTCTGTGATGGTGATAACTAAATGTCAGCAGAATAGATCAAGATTGCACTTTCTATGCTAAAAATGTAGAGATAGTTGTCCAGCTTTGTCCGACGCAAGAAGATGGAAGAACGAATGGCAGGTGAGGGAGGGGGAGCAGCCTTCATATATTTGTGCCATCCCTCAGTAACAAGAATTCACAGAAATGTAGAAATGGAAGCTTATAAGCGTTCCAAATACAAAATAAGGCTTCAAAAAAATATAACAAATTAGAAAACAAAATGGTGGTCAATAAGGTCTTGAACAAATCTAATGGGTTGGTGTTGGGGTTAGGAAAATCTATCCATGCAGTGCAAAATGTGTTGTATCAATGGATAAATAAAGACTTTCGGTCTATTTTGGTATTGGTAATATGTCGCAGACCCTTCATGTGAAAGCCAGAACCCGTCTGAAACTAAGCAGGGCAAGGCCTGGGTGATGGGAGACTGATGGGAGACTTCTGGGAACACCAGGTGCCGTGGTGGCCCCACTGCAGCTGTAAGGTGCCAAATTGTCGCTGCTTAAGCAAGTGATAATTCATCCACATTGCCTAGTACGAGTCTGGTGTGTGTGTGAATGGTTGGTAGTGGTCGGAGGGGCTGATGGCACTGGTTGCTTTGCTTCTTTCAGTGTGCCCCAGGGCAGCTGTGCAGTAGTAGTCCATCACCACTGAGTATGAAGTGAATGAATAATGCCATATTAAGTGTAAAAAAGCAGTATTGCAAGGAGAAGGAATCCCCTTTAATACCCAAAAAATAATATACATAACCCCGTCCATGAGCTTTGCTTCTCACATTATTCAAAAAATGTTTGTAACAAAGGTTAAACAATGTATATACCTGTAGGTAGTCATTTTTTCAATTAAGAGTATTCATTATACTACAGGCAAATGCAGAGACAAATCAGACTCTTCTGTATCTATCTCATTAGAAAAGATGTTCACTTTTACATACTTCAGAAATAGCCCTGTGTCACAATATCATGCTTTGGACTGAGAGCTGATTGGGTGATCAGATTAGATCAGGATTCTATCAAATAATAATGCATAGGTTTTATACAGCGCTTTTCTGGACACTCAAAGACGCTTTACATGTAATTATTCATTCACTCCATACACGGTGGTGATGCAGTGACTCTACTACTGTAGCCACAGCTGCCCTGGGGCACACTGACAGAAGCGAGGCAACTAGTTTGTGCCATTGGCCCCTCCGACCACCTCCAACCATTCACACACACACACCAGACTCATTCTAGGCAATGTGGGTGAAGTGTCTTGCCTAAGGACACAACGGCAGTTTGGCACCTTACAGCCGCAGCCGCCCCACTGTGGCTGGTGTTCCCAGAGGTTAAGTGTCTTGCCAAGGACACAACAACAGCAGACAGTGGGAGTCGATGGTGAAGGTTGGGCTCGAACCCACAACCCTCTGGCTCAAAGGACAATGCTCACCAACTGAGCTACTGTCGCCTGAAAATCAAAGATATCTAATGACTGCTGCTTCCACATGCAGCTGAACCATTATTTACCGTTTCATGATTGAAGTTGTTCACCATGAGAAACATCAAATATAAAATGTGGATGGGCACAGCTCCATGCAGCTGCAGATACAGGATAGTGTGTGGAACCATCACTGGGACACTGAGACAGCAGCATTCTTTACACGAGCCACAATTCCAAAAGCAGCAAAACACACCATTTGGAGCATGTTTTTAACTCATTTTTGGGCAAATGAGCAATTTTCAATTAGAACATCCAATTCATTTCAAGTCCATTTATTTTTATTTATTTATATATTTAATTACTAGGAGAATAAGCCCCCAGAGATGAAACTTCTCTTTTTCGAGGGGTCCTCAACCTCGCGCCAAATGACACGAGACATGGTACATGACATTATACAGTAAATTTTTTTTGTACTGTCCTAAATCACAGCAGTTGTCTCTGAGCGCTTTATAAAGTCGCAGATTTGCCAACACAGATCAGAGAATCAAACAGTTTTAACTATAAAAACAAACACATAGCAGCATAGGGATGACCGATGTACATAAATGTTAAACTAATGTCCTCAAATGTCCCGGATCATCACTGTCCCGCATTGGAAAAGGAACACGTGGGTAAAAAAAGAGAAACCTCAGGGGGTCCATATTGAGAGGGATCCGCTCTCATGGACGGACAGGCGGATGATCCAGGACTCAGGCCGTAGCAGCTCACCGGTCTGGGCCAGGGGAGACTATAGTCCACAGGTGTTGATCAAAGACAACAGTTGAAGTCAAAATGGATGTCTTGCTTATGACTTCAGCTGTAGTCTTTCATGGGACAAACTGTGATGGACACAGGACAAAGATAATCAATACATTTGCCTGTGCTTTGTTCATCAGCGTCTGTCTCCTCTCCCATTCATGTCTTGGATCGATCTGCGGGCGTGGGCAGATCCAGGTGCAAGTCTGATTAGAGCATCTATGGCAGGGGTCCCCAAACTTTTTTCTCTGGGGGCCACATTATCGTTCCTGACTGTGTTGAGGGGCCGGGATCAATCATATGGGCTGTATACTCGGCCACGGCCAGTTATAGCCATAATTTCAAGTTCATCATTACAAGTGATTTACAAAAGAAGTGAGTTCTTCACGTTTTTCCAATTTGAAATACCACAGGTATTCCTTTTATTTTCTAATAACAACCATGTAAAAATAGCAGGGAAAGGTTAGAAAAATATGGTGATTGAGTTTATGAGTGATACAAGAGAAAGGGAAGGCCTGTTTAACTTCCAGTGAGATGAGAAACTATCAAGACAAGAAACTTCTGGTCATTCACACTAGGTTAGTGAAAATTACAAACTGTAGGAAGGCCTATTGATGAGTTATAATTAAGTGCACCATACAGGTCAAATAAACTGAATGCATTGAAAAAAATAAACAATAAAATTCAGAGTAAGGCTTAGCTATTAGTTATAATTAAGTGCATCATACATGTCACAAACTGAATGCATTAAAAACATTTAAATTACAGAAAGAGCAACAACAAACAGAACTTCATTGCTCTATAATAGCTCACATGTAGATCATGAAATCAAATTGACCAATAATAATATATAAAACAAAGTTTGCCATGACCATTATATCAACAAACCTAAAACAGTGATTTATAACCCTTTGAAATAGGAGATTGAGATGAGGGGCAGTGCAGAGAGAGAGAGAGAGAGAGAGAGAGAGAGAGAGAGAGAGAGAGAGAGAGAGAGAGAGAGAGAGAGAGATGCTGAGAGAGAGAGAGATGCTGAGAGAGAGAGAGAGATGCTGAGAGAGAGAGAGAGATGCTGAGAGAGAGATGCTGAGAGAGAGAGAGAGAGAGAGAGAGAGAGAGAGAGAGAGAGAGAGAGAGAGAGAGAGAGAGAGAGAGAGAGAGAGAGAGAGAGATGCTGAGAGAAGAGATTGAGAGGAGATGAGAGACAGAGCAATTTGCACTCGGAAGAGAGTAACAGAATAACAGAGTAACAGAAGTCAGCAATATGTGCAGTGAATTTGTACTTGCTGTAACCAAGGTGGGATGAAGGATGGATGGGCAGGTAAGTGATGGGCAGTGATCTTTGAGGTCAGCAGTTGCAGTCCCCTCTCCTGCTGCCTGGAAACCTGGCATAAAGGGATGAGATTGGACACATTCAGTTGAATCATAATTCTAGATATGCTGCCTGTTGTTCCTTGATGTGATTTTACAAATAGGCCACAGTGTAGCATTATTCATTAACATGGAATGAAAACAATCATATTTCATCAAAAAGCATAGTCCGTGTTTATATGCATGTTTACAGCCACATAAAATTGTAATAGTTAAAATCAGTATATTTACCTATCAGTGTGAACTGTGTGCCTGCTTCTGGCTGGCGAGAAGTCTGATGTCTGGGTGTAGCCTAGTGGTTGCCAGTCTCAAAGTTTGATGCAAATGTTCATCTGAGAGTCTGTTCCTCGTTGGATTTTTTATTTGCTTCATGCGGGAAAACGTCTGCTCACACGTGTAGGTGCTGCCAAATACGGTGCACATCCTCAGAGCATGTTGTTTGATGTTTGGGTATGTGCACTCTGGTAGAGCAGCATAGAACTCAAGTAGGCTGTCAGGCTTGAATGCGTCTTTAAGGACATCACAATTCTGCAGCTCGGCTAGTTCAAACTGAAGAGAGGGACGTGCGTCGTCTATGTCAGCAGCAAACGGGTTCTGGAACAGACGTATGTCTTTGTTGTTGACATGAAGCTCGCGGAAGCGCACACTGAACTCTCGCTGCAGCATCTCCAGGGCATCCTTGCACTTCGCGACAGGGAAAGGGGCAGCTGGTTTCTCGGCGCAGTACATTTGGGTGGCAGGGAAATGTGTGAAGTCCAGCTTTTGGACCTGTCGCAGAAGGAGCTGCAGTTTGACCTCGAATGCTTTTATGTGGGAATACATGTCACTGATGAGATTCCCTTTGCCTTGGAGCTGTAGGTTGAGGTGGTTCAACACTTCAGTCACATCAGTTAAAAACGCGAGGTCCCATTTCCACCCCGGGTCCGTCAGCTCCTGTACCGTTTCACCTTTAGACTGGAGGAAGGTATTAATTTCGGGCAGCAGGTCGTAGAAACGGCGCAATACTTTGCCTCGACTTAGCCATCGAATTTCGGTGTAGTACAGCACATCCTGGTAGGCAGACCCCAATTCGGAGAGAAAGGCCTGGAACTGCCTGTGTTTCAGCCCATTTTTCCGGATGTAGTTGACACACTGCACGACCACCTTCATCACAGACGCCCACTTTAACACTTTGCAGCACAGCGCGCTTGCTGGTGGATCAAACAGTGAACTTGAATCGGTGGAGCGAGACCTCGCTCCTCGAACTCGCCGTTCAAGCGCCCTACTAGCCCCCTTGTCGATCCGACCATGCAAGGCGCACCATCTGTTGTAACACTGGCAAACTTCGTCCATTGCAGACCAAGCTCGTCCATTGTTTTGCAAACTTCGGCGAATATGTTTTCACCCGTTGTTGTCCCTTTTAAACTGTTCAGAGATGCTAGCTCCTCTGATACCTCGAAACGAGCGTTAACACCACGGATAAAAATCAAGAGCTGTGCCGTGTCCTTCACGTCATTACTCTCATCCATGGCTAAAGCAAAAAAAACAAAATCTTTCGCTTTCTCTCTGAGTTGGTCAAGGACGTTTTCCCCCATCTCCTCAATTCGCCTAGTCATGCTTTGTGCCGAGAGAACTCACCCCTCTGAAGGTATCCGTCTTCTCGGGGCACACTTCCTCAGACACAGCCAGCATCATAGCCTTCCCGAATTCACCGTCCGTGAACGGCTTGCCGTGAATAGCCAGTAGGTTAGCTGCTTTGTAGCTTGCTCGGACAGCAGCCAGGTTGGCCCGTGATTGACGGAGCAGGGCATCCTGCTGAGCTGCTAGCCCACCTTTCAGTCGCCGAACTTTGTCATCTCTCGCTGCCCCTTTCAAGCTAGCATACTCCTTGTGACGGGTTTCGTGATGGCGGCGAAGGTTGTATTCTTTAAACACGGACACGTTTTCTTTACATATAATACAAATGGCACGGTCCTTCCATGGAACAAAAAAATAATCCCTGGTCCATTGTTCATTAAAAACCCGGCACTCTCGATCAATTTTCCTCACTTTACTGCACGCCATTGCACTGCTGTTCAACTGCTGCTATTCTCTGCGCATGACTTCCTCGATCAGTGAGGTGGCAGAAATTCGGTCATAACGATAAATCATAAAAATAATACAGACACATGCAATTATATAAATATAAATGGTTAATACAAATATTTTAGTGTTATCTAAAACCAAATAAAATATATAAAATACATTTTTTTTTTTTTTTTTTGCAACTAGCTGCTCAGAGGTGGAGGGCCGGTCAAAGAGGCGTGGCGGGCCGTATCCGGCCCGCGGGCCTTAGTTTGGGAACCTATGATCTATGGGATAATGTGGAACGAAACAACGCGGCTTGAGAAATACATCTCCAGACCAATATGTACACATGTGGAAACAGCAGATGTGAGGCCATAGATAGATGTTTGTCAAAACTGTTTGGGAATTGAGGAACTAGTTCAGGTATGTCAGGTATGTTACAGGTTCAGTGTGGCTGCAGGTTTTCATTCCAACCAGGGACACCAGACTCCACTAATTTCATCTTCAGGTTCTGGCCTTACTTGAGGAAATAGGTTGAGTCCTACTTGGTTGACTGCTTTGACAGCCCTGAACTATAAATTGACTACTTTTTTGTGGTTTTAAGGGTAAACTGGTTAACCCAATTAGCCCTTTGTCTGAAGAGTCAAATAGTGACTCAAAAGGCTGCTTCTTACAACTCTGCTAAAAATGTTGCGTATTATTATTGTCTAAAACAAGTAAATACAATAAGGTACCCCAGTATTTTTTAGGACATCATCACAATTTATCTACTACCACAAAATAAAGGTTTCTTTCGCTGATATTACTTATGTCTCCCTCACCCGGGCTCCTCTCAACTACAAGGCTGCCCTCTTCTTCTACATGTGCTTGAACTCCACTCACTCCAATGATGCAATAATACCATTACCTGTCTGAATGGAACTGCATTCATAATTTTGTCTTTTAAAACCATATTTTTTAACAGTCCACATCTGCTAAAATTGTCAAATTAGATAAGGACAGCTGCATCTACAAATGTAATCCCGCAATTCATGGTCTTCATAATGGCCACTTCTATTTTAAAATGGCCCCAGGGGAATAAAGCCTGATAAGTAAGAGCAGAGCAAACCTGAGGGACAGTAAAGTGACCCAGAAATGCATGTAATTAATGCTCCCTATCCCGACGCGGTAATTAACAATGCGTTTAGTGGATTTGCTCACATTGTTTATATAAATTGTGGAAATGGTGGAAAAAACCCATTTGAGAGTTTACAGTTGAACGTCATTTTCAAATCAAAACATGAAACTGATATCTAAAATGTTATTAGTTTGATTGGGTTCATATAGTTTCTACATGCATGCATTTCTTTTACCACCAGCTCTTTCAGACAGAAGATTGAAATAGAGAGGACCACACTCACTCGGCCAATTTAGTCTCAACCCAAAGTGTCAATTAGTGACTGTGGTGTCTGCTATTATCAATATTCTTGAATTCTACATAAATGTATGGGTCTTCATATGTATAGAATGTGATGGGACATGTCAGCACTTAATGTCTAAGACTGCTGACCATTTCACTAAGTTATGAGACTAACGGTACGTCTACGTATGACAATTGAGACCTTATATGTGTGAACAACATCTTTATCATGAGACTGCAATACAATGTATGTATGGTTTGTTAAAGTGTGTCTTGTAACTCTCCTAATTTCTATAAGGGCTAGCTGCTTTGTGTGTTCGGGCTCATTCTGCTATTCCATCTCTTAGCGGGACCCGGGCTAGGTTAGTCTGTAATTTGTCTGTATTCTGCTTATATACATTAAACCTTCTTTTTATATGTAAACAGAGTCTTAGCTTCCATCCACTCTACACACTGGTTTGTGCGGGAGGGAAAGCCAGTTAGATTATTTACTACATGACTCAAAGGGCTTTTTCTTTCAAGTATGCCAAAGATAACACGTTTTCTCATAAGAGTGAAGCGGCTTGTTGTGATTGGATTTTTTCACAAAATGTTATAGGGGTTATATGAGTATATATTGTAACAAACCAATTGTATAATGCATGATAACATAAAAAATAAGAAAGTGTGAGATTTGACTGAAAATGAACAGTTGTAAAAGCCTGGTCAAATTAGTAATACTTGGATATAAGCAACAGATGTGACTTTAATTTACCATGGCAACCACAAGTAAAAAAGCTTGTCTCATTTACAAAATAGTGATGGAATGGAGTAGAAAAATGAGTCAATACCTTTATCTGATGGAATAAATGTTGAAGTAGCGCCACCTGCGTATGAAAGCAGACTTCTGAAGCTAAGCAGGGTAGGGCCTGGTTAGTACTGTGATGGGAGACCTCTGGAAACACCAGATGCCACAGAGGGTGACTGAGGCCAAACTGTCGTTGTGTATGTAGGCAAGACACTCCACCGACATTGTCAGCTTTGGCTACACCATTGCTGACCACCATTGTGATACAATATTGCCATGTGAATAACCTTTGAGTGCCCAAAAAGCACTGCACCAGCGATATCTAAACTGTCAGATAATTGCTTTTATTGAGCAATAATTGGTGACATTTAGGATGTTACAGTTGGAGAGATTCCATTGGAACACACCTCTACTTCCTCTTTGCAGCAATCTTCCCAAACTGTCGCTTGGTTCATGTAAATTGTAAAACTTCAAATGCGTACCAGGAAAGATTTACCAGGACAGAAAGACAACCCATCTCGAGCACTTCAACACACTAATATGTGGCATTGCTCTTTTCCTTCCAATGGATCGAACATGCACTGTGGGGCGGCTGCGGCTGTAAAGTGCCAAACTGCCGTTGTGTCCTTAGGCAAGACACTTCACCCCCATTGCCTAGAATGAGTCTGGTGTGTGTATGAATGGTTGGTGGTGGTCGGAGGGGCCGATGGCGCATACTGGTTGCCTCGCTTCTGTCAGTGTGCCCCAGGGCAGCTGTGGCTACAGCAGTAGCTTATCACCACTGTGTATGGAGTGAATGAATAATGACACATGTGAAGCGTCTTTGAGTGTCCAGAAAAGCGCTATATAAAACCGATGCATTATTATTATTATTATTACTACCACTAAAAATATGCACACTAGGTAAATCCTCCAGCTTCGGTAGCCCTGACCAACCCAAACATCACCTGACATAAGCCTTAGTGGCATCAGGATGGGTCAGATGCAGAAGATGAATTGCCCTACGGAGAAGTGCTCCTTTGCCTTTGTCACTCTTGGAAGATGTCATCAAAAGACTTTTCCAGCCAGTTAATATTAGATAATCAGGCCAAGGGGTAAGATTGCCCCAGTGTGTGTATGTAGGCGGGAATGTGGGTCACCAGCTCTCTATGGCTATGTGTTTGTTATTATTGCATTTCCTGTGTTGGAACCGTTTGATTCTTTGATCTGTTAGTGGCGAATCGACAAATTCGTAAAGTCCTCAGAGACAAACTGCTGTTGTGAACAATCCTGCCTGTCATATGCACCTGGAGTAAAGACTTGCATAATGATAGCTTTTCAAGATAAAAGTTAGGACTGCATGCAATACTTGAAATTCATAACCCCTTATTAAGAATAAAACATTCAATTAAAATAATATAAGGTTAACATGTTGATTATTTGGAGCATCTGGATGTAAATGAAACACACAGACAAAGCAGAGCAGTAATATCTGATGTAAGCTTTACTTTCAAATCCTGTTACATTTAGATCTGGCAAGTTGAACATAAAATAATGCCAAACGAGAGAAACAAAATACAAAACCCCAAAAAGTACAAATGTTCTATTTACCAGTTATCCACACAACCCTGTACAGCCTCAACAATGGAGTAATAAAAAAAAAAAAGCTTTGTACAGCACATACCAATCTTTACCGAGTGCCAAAACAGAAAAGTCAATTGGAGCCTTTGCTAATCGGAGAGAGTACAGCCGAACTTAAAGCTGATTGTAGACAGTGCTGAGAGATGCCAACGGAATACGAACAGGGAAAACAAGTCGTGCTATTAGGGCTGTAACAAGTTAAGCTTTTAATTGCAACAGATCGCTTATTTAGTGCTCCACTTAAAGGGACTGTATGTAATAAGCACTCCGAGTGATCTATTAAAGATAATACGATCACAATTATTGTCTGTGAGAAATGTAGCTCTAAGCACTGATTGGTGATGCATTTTCTATGACTGCTTTTTGTACCTGGTTTCATTCAAACAGATGTGAGATGTTATTTGTGATTATGTGAAATGTGTTATTGAAAAAAGGTTAGAGCCAAAACCAGTAACCCGAATCAAAGACCCATTCTGCCCTCTGATTGGATGATCTGATCGAAAACATCCCCGTTATCCGAGGACACATATACACATTGTAATTTAAATTGATACATTTGTGTAAGCTCTCAGTCGTACAGGGATTAGTCAAACTTCCTTTGCTTAAATTGATAATATTACATACTGTCCCTTTAAACAAGCCGTTTTGGTGAGTTGTATATAAAAAACCCATATTCACAGACCATTCGAGATCCACCCAATCAATTAATTTAAATAATAATCGTAAACTAATCGAGGATCCACATAATCGTTAATTACAGCCCGACGTGCAGTATGCCGCAGTGATTTGAAAGGTAGTCTAAGCTTTGAACGAAACATTTTGGGCAACGTAAATAACTGCTGAATGAGTGAGTTTCTGTCGTTTCGTCGTTTGCCTTGACAACATTGCATTCATTCTCAGTACAAGGCAGACGGTTAGAAAAGCAGTCACAGTCCAGGACACATTCACAATGTTTTTCGGACCCTAACAATTTTGTTCGACTCATTCTCAGAAGTCTCCGGAGGTTTCCTTCCACCGAGTGGCACTAGAGTATAAAAGAGACTGCGGATGTAGCCCGTGTGTGTTGAGTGTGTGAGAGTGGCTTCCTTTCTGCAGACTGCACGCCACACTGACAAAGCAAAGATCAACAAACAGTGGGATAGGCTGCGTTTACGTCACGTCACAACTCCGCTCATGTTCAATTTAGACCTGGAGCCAGTCAGAATTTGTATAATATTTTTTAGGATTTTTAATGATTATAATGGCTGAAAAGTATTTTGACCCAAATGTGTAAATAGTCATCTCTAAAAGGACGTTCTTCAGAGCCTCACGTGAGCTTTTTTTTTGGTCAAATGTAGAAAAAAAAGGCAATATTCACTGAGCTTTTGGGATGTAAACAATTAAACAGTCAATCAGAAGACTTGTTAATTACAGCCCTAGTGTTAATGGTTTCTATCTGTAAATATTGGGCTTATTACCATGAAACAAAAACTGGAATACAGTCCAATATCCTCTCTGATAGCAAACATAAACTTATGATTATTCAGCCTTCTCCCCATCGCAGTTGTGACGGCGCAGTGGCAAACGCAGCCTGCGTACGCTCCGGTTCAGTCTCTTAGCAAAGTGTGACGGATTCGATCCTAACATCACATTCCGCAAACATTTTGGTCTTGTGAATCATTACGTGTCCCACTAAGTTTTTCAAACAAGACCATATTATGACAATGCATGATAAACAAAAGGAAAATAATAATTAGCAACCCCTTTACAAATAAGGGGACTGAGGACCACTTCAGAACACAAGCGCCTTATCATTACATGGGTAAAGCTTCTAAATAAAATGTGGTATGCATCTTGGAGACACATGGTTTTTTATGGATAAATACATATTTTCATCATAAAAAGTGCAGCACTGTGCAAAATTGGCGTCAACAATTTATGCTGGGAGCTTTGGTTCCCAGAGTGAGCTTGACCTCTGCTGTCTAATTCATGCTAATTGTATTTGACACACAGCATCCGTGTGCGGGCTGCTGGACTGAGGATGGAGTCCTTCACTACACTAGCACCACATGGGGACGGGTCAGTACAGCACGCTTTACATTTGGAGTGTGCTAAAAAGGTACATTTTGAGATATTGTATCCATTTTGTTTTGTTTTTAATTAAATTAAGCTACAATGGTGTTGTATTTTGTCTTACAGGGTTTTGGACAAGGGGCAAAAATGTCATGATATAGATCTTAAATTAAAACTTCTATTCCCATTGATTGTTGGCCCGCCATAATGTGACTCACTTTATACCCTGTGCTTTTCCCCACTTGCCCGTCTATTGTCTATCCAACATTTGTTCCTGAATTTTTTGACAAAGCTCGGTTAGGTCAGAGCCAGAGCTACAAGATCTAGGGTACATATTTTTAGCGGCAGGGGAAACCGTAGCACCCGGAGGAAACCTACGCAGACACAAGGAAACATGCAAACTACTGCGAAGGGGACTGGGATGCAAACTCAGAGCCTTCTTTGCTGAGAAACGAGCATGCTAACCACTCTGGTGTTGTATAAAATATGTGTGGTACGGTGGCAGAGTGACTAATGCAACTGCTCCATATAGCCTTTTAGAAATGTAAAGCAGTTTCTTGTTGATGCCGAATGAATACGATAAACAGTATGTCATGTATGCTTGTTTAGTGATGACATTTAGGGACATTTATGGAGACTGGTCATTCCGCTCCCTATGGACCAATGGCTCCTATGTGTTTGTCTTTTGCATGATGTGTTTGAACTCTTTGATTCTCTGATCTGTGTGTAAAGTCCTCTGTGCCATACTGACCCACCTCACACAGTGGAGCATATTCATTTACATTGCAATCTTGGTGGACTGACGATCCAAATCAAAATCAAGAGCGAACACACGCGACTAAGTGCTTTTGGCTTGAAACGTAACTACAATAAGTGCAATCAAGACTCAGAAGATTGACAAAAAAATAAAAAGGGGGCGGTGAAGCGTGAGTACCGTGTCTTTCCATCGCCGGCGACAGCTCTGTTCTGCCTTTGCGCGTTTAGTAGAAAATGTCATGATGTAAAAGGCTCAATACAAAAGTCACACAAAAAAAAAAATTCAACATGGTAACATTTAAAAAACAAAACAAAAAAATGACACAGAAGGCCACCTCGAGCTTTCCAGACCACATCCCCGATCACATGTCTCCGTCACTTGCACATCAACGAAAATACATTCATTCAAGTCATTTTGGAACAGTTTTTTTTTCTTTTTTTATACACAAAAAATTACAAAAATCTCCAAAAAGCACCGTTGAATCGGCCTGTGGTGTCCGGGCGCATGGGGAACGACCCGGCGCCGGTCACCTCCACAAAACAATTATCTCGTGTCTCCTCTAAGTATAGATGTGTGGTACATAATGTGCATATAAAGCTGCGTTCATACTCGCGGGGTCTCTGCAATTATGATTGACCTTGTCCGGCTAACTATACTAACCGCCTTCTCACCAGGGGGTGCAAATAATCGATAGAATAATGTCCTAATAAAATCGCATCTGTTAATCATGCGTATTATTTTTGCCAGCTTTAAAACTATCTTAAAAGGGTATGGATTTCTAGAGGCCAGGGACATGAGGCAGCAGTTATGCATACTATGGAATCACTCAAAAAAAGGGGGGAAAAACATAGAAAGGGGCTACAAAAAACTATGTACAAGATTGATAAATAAGTAAGTGCGTGGTTTTGAGGCGTTGCTTTGGAAACGTGCCTTTCCTCCTGCGAGATACTTTCCACTCTTATCTGCCGTGAACATTTCAAATTTAGCTTCCTAATGACGTCAAAGCTGAAAGTTGAAACACAGAACCAGGCATGCTATTCTGATGCATAATAGCGGATAGACAAAAATGCACTAAAATATAGCACTTGCAAATTTTTCTTTGTCTTTTTCACTGTTTCTATAGTCAAACAACAAAAGAAAATGGCTATAAAACAGATACGTTAGTTTCCTCAGATAATTCAACCAGTTCCAGCTCATTCAGACATTTTTAAACAGAAAGTCATAGTAGCTGAAGAAGTAATAATTCAATTGATAGAACTGATAAGAAAAGCAGCTTCTTGATATAAATGCCTTTAGCATGTACAGCCTTTTACTCTTATAAATGTTTTTATGTTCAGTCTAAGTCTCTCCAGCTTATTCTGCTGGTCTGATTGGAAAAGAGTGGGAGGAGGGCTCTGAGTCACACAGTCTTGGCCCTCTCGGTGAGTCCCAGGTAAGCCATGAAGGAGTGTTTGTGGGACGAGGAGGAGGCGAGCGGCGGGGAGGTGGCGGGCCGCGGGGCACTCTGGAATGTGTACAGGGTGGTGAGGGGGATGAGGGGGCGCTTACAGTTTGTGTAGGGCTCCAGTGGAGAGCACATTGAGGGGGGGTCCAGGGGCTGGAGGGACCTGCCTAAAGTGAGGGACAATGCTGCAGACTGCAGAGCATGGGAGGCACTCAGGTTCATGAGTGGACTGCTGCTACTGCTGCCCCCGCTGCTGCCTGCACCTAACAGGAAGTGAGGGCCGGCCGGGGATGCACTCTCCCTGCGCTCCTCCTCCTCCTCCTCTACCCCGCGCTGGTGTTTCTTCACGTGGCGGCTGTAGACGAAGGGGTGCGTGGTGGTGAAGGGGCAGTCGTGGCAGCCCAGCGGCTGTCGCGGCGCGTGCTTCAGCTTCTTGTGCAGGTTGAGGTTGTCTTTGCGCTTGCAGCTGTAGGAGCAGCGGTCACATTGGAAGGGCCGCTCGCCTGTGTGCACGCGCACGTGCTCGATCAGCTTGTTGGCCGTCTTGGACAGGTAACCGCACTGCTCACACTTGTAGTGGTTGCCCAGGCGATGGGCACGCATGTGGCCCTCCAGCGCGGCCTGGTCAGGCCACAGTCCTTGGCAGATGCGGCAGCGATACTCCATCTTACAGTGCGTCTTGAGGTGGCACTCCATGGCCGCCGGACGATTGGTGGAGTAGATGCAGAAAGGGCACCTGCAAAGAGCCACACAGGGACCAGGGACACAGGAAGGACAGCAAACACATGTTAAAAGTTGAAGGCAATACTCAAACTAAAGTACTGTCCACAGGATTCCTACATCAACATGCCCAGACTCATTATTCAGACACCATTTCATTCATTACATTGTTCAGAGAAGAGCACATGTAAAAACTATTATTAAAAGGTTGTATCTAAAAATATAACTCAAAAGTGGCGAAAGGAAAACATGAAGTGACACACATTCTACAGAATGTAATAACAGTCTCAAGTACAGTGTAGGCCTAGGAACCCTGCTTGGACAGTGGCACAGATGTGGAGGAAAGGGCAGGTGAAGGAGGAGTGCTGTTTGTGCTCCGGTTGTATGTGTGGTGCTTAAATGTGTGTGGGAGTGAGGTGACGGCTGCAGTAGGACATGAAGGAAATGAAGGAATGGAGTGGCACTTACATTTAAATAGCACCTTTCATCTGCTCTGGGCCCCAAAGCGCTTCACAAACCCTGCAGAACAAAATCACCTCAGAAAAACCATCAAGGCCCTGGCTCCCTCACCACTGCACACCACATTATTTTATTCTCCGGTCAAATCTCAACTCTCGGTTAGAACGTCAGCGAGCAGGTGAGTGATTTTCTGAATCAGACTGTCTATAATTGGATGTTTGCGCATCCATTTTCTCCTGCACCTGTTCAGGGCTCAGTGTGATGGGACGTGTGTGAATATCCACTATTGGAAGCCAGCCCTCAATGGCGGCATTGAAAAGTATCTTTGTCCTTAATTACAGCCCTAGATCCCCACAATAACAATGTTCAATGGATTATTCTGGCAAATACTGGTCAAAATATAATTTTGAAACCAGTATATGATGCCTTTGTTTGTAATAACCGTGACAATTATGGCTTACAGTCCACACAAAATATTCAATTTTCACCTGTATCAGTTCAGATGCAGGATCTTTTTTAGTTGCAAGCACATATTGTGTCTAACCCTAAGTGTCTCGAACATAATATAAATACATTTTCCCAGCTTATCATTGTAGGTCGATGGTGGGTCCGTACACCTTTTCTTCTGCTCATATCAGATTTATAAGTTGCCAAAATGTAGGTACATTTCCTACATACTTGCCTAAAACTTCTACACACTGAAAGTCTGTGCCATCTCTCTGATGGAATCAAACACCCGCTGCATGTTCTTTTGCCTGTTCTTTTTTTGGTGCTTTGAGGCCTGCTTTGAAAAACATTGACACCAGACAGAAGATACATGTATATCAATTCAAAAAACCTGTTCACAGTTATTCACTCACACTCTACAACCAAGTCTACACATTAGCCGTTATAGCGTGATGGGTTTTGTAGCAGAACTGTGTCTGTGTTGGGTTTCACAAATTTAACGCTAAAAACAAAACATTCACTGAAAACTACACAGAATGCAGGGCACACTTTTCGTTGTCAATGACCAAAAATGAGGTGACATTTATGGCATTGGCGCATGCACGGACTTATGTTATGACAACTCAAAAAATGACAGTTGGAATGAGTATCGGACCAATTTCAAGTTTTTTGTTTTTGATTAGCAGCAGTGTGACTGTAGAAGTGCAGGTGTGCGTGGTGTTGTGAGCGGTTGCCGTGGTCACAGATGATCTGAAATGAGACAGAAATGCGTCGCCGTACAAGAGCGGCTACTGTGGGGGTATGGAGTGTGGAAAGAGTCCGTCACAGAAGCTCTAAAAAACAATCCATAGACTAGCTGGGGCTTCTGGTGTTTACATCTATTCAAGTGTAGAGATCAACCGATTTAAGTTTCTGGAATATCAGTTGGTTTTAGATCCATCCACGGAAATATCATGAAATTCTGACACAAAGATGTAACTCCTCCCCTGCTGTCTAAAGGTTCCTGTCTCAATCCTGTTATAGTATGAAGCCATTGTAACCCTATGACGTTACGCTCAGAGCAGTTTTTGAACATAAATTAGGCCATTTCAAGTTAAAGTACATTATTTACAATCATGAGGCAGTGATTTTCAAATTTGGAAAATTCCCCCCCTTCTGGTGGTAGCACAGGGATAGTGCAGGCCAATGGCAACCACGAATGCATAAACAAACCTCCCATATTAGAAATACCGGATATCTGGGCATCTATGTTTTCCTCTCCTTCTATTCTTTAAAATAAATATATTCTCATCCATAATTATAATATCTAAAACTTGCTAACTCCTGCAATAGCAATTTATTTGCTGCTTTAATTATTATTTTTTTTTAACACAAATGGGCACAAACATAAAACTACACACATACTTTAAAATCTTCCATTGGCTACAAAAGAATATTATCGGTTGATTTCTAGTTGTGTGTGTGTGTGTTTGCGCGCACACTTGTGTGACAGAGAGAAGCATAGTGGGTTAAAAATATTTCTTATAAAAAAGTGCAAAATTATGTTTCCATCTCTTACCCAGTATCTAGGACAAATTCACAAAAACATCTATTCACATGTATGATTGAGCAGAAAATTATTCATATTGTATTGTGTCAATACCATAAATCGGCTCCAACATCGTCAATACGGCCATGTATTTGTTATGACAACCTGGGCAGAAGTAGACATCAGGCTGATGATCGAATTTAATATTGAGTTTATATCTAAGAATTTAAGATTGATAATAAATCATATTGAGTGCTTCGAAAAACATCTATTATGTTCACACTATGTTATTTGCTAATTACATACTGCAAGACCACAAGTTCAGCAAAGGTACAAAGACACTACTTTTCAATTCTCCTACGTCCTACTTCATTATGGCCGCTACCCCTCTTCTGTCTGGTGTGATCTTAAAGAACACATTAGTGCGTTAGTCCGGCTGTCATAGGGCGTTCAGGAGTGTGCCGACAAGTGTCTCTGCGGTTTAATGACTGCAGCGGTGCAGAGCCTAAAGCAAAAGCAGGTCTCATCAGATTTACTATATTTTTTGTGCACGTTTACGTCTGTGTGAGGGCAGCGGAACGGCAGACCTGAGGGGAGGCCAATTTCCATCTCCCTCAACTCGGCCTTCTCCGCGGCTGTTAATAAGTTCTACAGACGGGCACTGCCACAGACGGGTACCTCCTTTCCTCCAAACTCTCGCCGTTTACAGCATTCAATAAGGCATTTGATCAGTTTGATTTCTACATATTGTTGTAACATACTGTTGAATTACTTCTTGAATGTACAGTGGTCCCTTGGCGGAAGTTAAATTCTTAATATAACCTGCAATAATCAAAATCCATGTTTTAAGGCTGTAAAACCAATCATCACCCACTTTATACACATTTCTAACCAACTGAACGCATGACTGCTGAAGAGTGATCAAGGAGCTACCACACCTTTTGGTTGTAGGTCTGAGCGCTGCTGCAGCTGTCAAAAGCTGTGCATACACTGTAAAATGGGGGAGGACACTGTGCGTAAAAGCAGGGGCAGGACTGAGGGCTACGGGAAGACACTAACGCTTTCTTATGACTTTAAATAAAGGTTATTTTTATGTTATACTAGTGGTTATATTATGTTGTATATGATGTTTTTGAAATACATTAGCAGCGCATGAGAAGCACGCAGTAAAAACGGAAAAATACACACACACACAAAAAAACGCAAAACAACGAGGCCGCCAAAGGTGAACCGCGTTATAGCGAGGGACCACTGTAATCATAATTGTAACAATGGGCACAGTGAAGTTCTTAGTGTATAACAAACCCCTATGCAGAGGAATCTCATTTTACATGTTTACAAAATGAGAAACATATTGATCTATGCAAACAAAGCTCCACTGGCTCAAAGGGAAAAAAAATGTTTGCTGCAATAATTGGGGCTCCAGGGGATAAGTGGAGGAGGTAGAGCTAATCGCGACCATTACATTTGGAAGGAAAGACTTTTATTGTCGAGTAAACACTGACTTTTTAAGCTGAAAGCAAATGTACATTGGATATTTTATGCTTTGGTTTTCTCAGTGCAATGGTTATATGTGCTGTAGACAGTTTGACCGGACAATTTGAAAGGGTCAATTTTAAAAGGTAGATATTTAACAATTGTTTTCTATGGATTTTTTTACACTGCAAATTAACGTGGGCAAAGGGGATAATGCTAATGAACTAGTTACCCATTGGACATTTTTTCAAGGTTATTTGATGCCTTCTTGGATATTGATGGGAATATATTTTATGTTAAGAATTGAAGAAGAAAACTTAAATACACAGTATTTTGTTTGTGGAAGTTTTGTTTTGAGGTTACCAATTTGTGGCTTGTGCATTTACTTGTTTTGAACTTGTTTACGAGTACTGTTAATTATTAATTATTACCATCACGTTTGGGATCATTGTCATGTGGTGGCTTTCCCGAGAAATGCACCTTTTTAAAATGAGGTATAACATGTCATGGTTGCATATCAACCAGATGGGAAGAATTAAGGGCCAGATATTTAAAAAAAAAAGTAGATATCTCTAATGGAGAGACTTGAGGACACACTGCTGTTGTATCTAAATGCATATGTTCCAATGTGTAGTCATCAGAGTGTGTGCTGGACAGTGGGCTGAAGGGGTCAGGACTTAGTTTCCTTTGTGTGTACTTGCTTTCCTTACTTGAGCCCTCCTGAGGGGACGGTGTGGCACTTCTTGTGTTCCAACAGCTGCTCGGGCGTCTTGAGGAACTTGTGGCACACATCGCACTCGAACATTCTGGTGATGAGGTGGATCTGGAGGTGCCGCTCGTACATGCTGCGTGTCTTACACACAAAGTTACAGAAGACGCACTCAAAGCCTGGGCACAAAGACACAATGGGACAGATGTGTGAGGACTTTAGAAATGTGGCGCGCAAAAAGCGCTACAAAAGCGTGCTTGATAAAAAATGCCACTACAGCCAAAATAAATCTTTTTTTTTTTTACTGTTTTGGGATCAAGATCTGCAAACGGGGCAACAATATCCACTGTGGCGTGGTCAGTCTGAATGACCTGTCAGGTCAATCAGGCTGACCACGCCCATTCAGGAAGTTAATATTGTTATTTATCACTTGGCTGTTTTGTTTTCTACTTGGCTAACAACAAATGGAAAGTCTTTTTTACCATTTTATGAATTGAAGATGATCTGCTGGTCGTGCCCAGGCCAGGCCACAAGATTTGTTTTTTCTCTGCCCAGTGGAATACACTGTCATCAATCAATCGATGTTTTTGAATGATTGTTAAATACTTTTTGTATACTAAAGGCCTTTGGCAGAGCAGAGTATCTGCGTTTGTTGTGTGTTTGTGAAGCCCATTGTAACTGTTGTTTAGTAAAGTACAAATATTTCCTCTGTACCTATTAAAACCTACCCATCTATTTATTCTCATCTCTCACCTTTTTCATTTTTGTCCTCAGTTCCTGATCCCGAGTGGCTCCCGGAGCTTAATTGGCTGCTGGCAGAAGAGGGCGGGGCCAGCAGGCTCTTCAGTTCTTCGTTGCTGTGATCTCCACCCTCTGAGCTATTGAGGGAGTCGCTGAGGGCCGAGAGGGATGAGGAGGTGCTCTTGGTCTCACTGAGAGGACTTCTGGAGTTTAGGACTGGATAAGAAAACAGGAAAGTAGTCATTGTTAGCTTATTTTTCTCAGAAAGATGAGACACACGGTCTGATGTTGGATAGAGAGTATGAACTGAATAGTAGGGACTGACTTTGACTTTTTTTCCCTGTAGAGAAAATTTTCCTCAGTCATTGACCCATCCTCCCATCCTAAAATGCCACTAGGTTACTGTGGACGGGTAGATGGGTGTGTCAGAAGAGGTTTATTTCTCTCGTCATTAGGGACATCAGATCTTAAGTCATATGTTTTGAAAGATCTTATACAATAAGAAAAAAAAATAGGAACTAAATAGTGTATATTAGGAAGTGGAGATTGAACAGAGAAGGCCCCAAGATGGACCTCTGGGGCGCCACGCAAGATAAGACCATGTGATCTCAGACGTGGTTACCAGTCTCAAAGGAGCACTTCTTGATATTATTTGAACCAACTACCAAAAGGGGTAGTTGTCTTGCGGTAGTAAGTTCATCAAAGGTTTCAAGTCAACCAAACAATTCAAAAGATAGATTTCAAAAGCCATTTATGAATTCAATTAATTGAGAATTGTTAAGCGCTGGCTCTGAAATTTTTAAAATTGTGTTGTGCAATACATACAAACTTCCAAACTCCTCTCCCTCATTTCACACACTGAGAAGACAGACAAGATAAACATCTGAATCATTTGCATTGCCATCATGAGTAACAGGAAGTCACAAATTAGGAAATTGCTTTGGCTCTTGGCGCAAACAAGTTGTAAAAGTAAAAAAAGGATAAGGCATGCATGAAAAGAAAAAAATCTACCAAACATTTCTTAAACGCATATATATCACCAAGTACACACAGTCAATGTTGTCCTACTCAGCCACATGGAATTCCTTTTATTGCCATTTATATGAGACGACAATAAGATGCACGAGTCATCCAACAAATTGATCAACAGATTATGGTTTTAGTCCACAAAAAAATACAGCTCACCTCCAACTATAGGCTCTTTGGAATGTTGTGATGTTACTTGCAACCTATTCTTGCTCTTTCTTTCCTGCTGCTTGCTATCCTGTCATATTCATCTACTACTGGCCACTTATAATATTGACCAATCATTTGCATTCAAGGGACAATTTATCTTTAGAGGTTAAGTACATTTACTGTGGCCAGTCTGCACACGTGTCAGCCTGACTCTGCACACAAAGACTGGCCTCGCCCCCTATAACACAAGTCCGCAGAGCAGCAGACAGACCTCTTGCCTAGCGCTCAGACCGGGCCCTGGCTGCCAGTCCAATCAAGACGCAGTGTGCTTTTCATCGATCTCCCTTTCTTTCAAGTCTGCAATTCAGCGGACGAGAGAGGAGGGAATTAGACGAGAGGCCGCAGCACGCATGAGGGGGAGGGAGGGGGTGAGGCGCGCAGGTCATGGCCAAAGGAGCTAAGATGGCGGGGAGCATCTCGGGGCACGGCTCGACAAAGCCCGTTCAGTCAGGAGGGGGAGAGAGAGGCTGCGGCGGAGTTGCTCGACCCGTCTTTCATAATACAAGCGAGGATTGGTGGATTTCGTGACCACTGTAAATGCTTTCCACAGTCAAAGATCTGATTAATTGCTTTCAGTGCTGTTTGAATATACCAGGGTTATTAACAGTGCAGCGGTCTTGAATAATGGAGGCGCATCATTTCCTTACGTTAGCCGAAAGGTTTGCATGGTTCCAATTAGCCACACAGAAAATAGTGTTACGAGTCAGTGGACCTCAACCCAGAGCCTCTCTCTAAATATTACTGATATTTTCTCTCTTTGGTCTTTGGGTGGATGGGTTTGACCACGTTGAAAGAATTCAAGAGAATTACAAATGTATCCTCCAGGTGAAAAGGTGCTGCAGTATTATGATGTTAAAATCAAATTGAGCAATTCAAATTGAAAAATTACTGTGAAATGATTCTCATTTATATACTACAAGATAAATACAAATATTAAAAATAATATCTGTTTGCAAAATTATCCACTTAGAAGACTGACAAACATACTACTGAACTCTACCACTTTTTTCTATCTTTATTTATCCCTCGTTTCCAAATTTTTTGCAGATATTTGTAAATCTTATCCCTTTCACATAAAGTACCACCAAAGAAAATATAAAGATTTCTCACTGAAGCCGGGCTTGTCACATGGCCCTCTTGTAACAACACAGCGGTGAAACTTGTCTTCATCTCCCTGTATGCACATATTGTGCCATTGGTAGCATTGTTGAATGGTTAGATGGTTAAACTTGGTTAACCAAGAGACTGTTTTGATACTCTCGCGGATTATGTTGTCATTACCACTGTAGAGTAAGACAATAAATCAGGGGTTTCAAACCGATTCCACAGAGGATAAGTCTGGCTGCAGGAAACGTTTCATATACCAGCCCTCTGAGGACCTCTTTGTCAGAATTTATGTATCTATTGCAGAGGTGTCAAAGTCCAATGTTACATACTTGCCTAGGACTGGTCATCGTTATATCCATTTTATTTTTTGTTAAAACTATGGGTAAACAACATGGTCAACATTTATTATCTCCATACTCATGCCAGATTTCTATATTGCTTGTCAATATTAATGCCTATATCTTGATATTGCTGCACATTCACATGATAATGATCTTATTACAATAGCTGTTAAACTACAGTGTTATGTGCCAAATGGAGACCTGTTATCTCCTGTAAATTTTGACCTGAACATTTAGATACTTTAATAGTTTTAAGCCAATAACAGTCTAATGGGGAACAAATACAATCTGCAGTGGACTTTTAGTAAACCGCAAGGTGAATGCACACATACCAGTATTAGCTTCACACAAAATTCAAGCAATGTTCTGTTTTTCCACAATATTTCCATGTAAAATGATACAAAATAACAAGCTGTGCCAAGATACTAGATGTTGTCCAAATGGCATCCAGGGTTGAGAGACTTACACCGTGGCAACAGTGGCATCATAATGCCGGCTTGTCTTCTGCGGACCCAAGGCCTATTGATTTCTTTCCCCTTGGGCACGATAAGGGCCAACATGCTCAGATAAACAAGGCCACAACGGCCCCTCAAAGACCCCAGAGCAGTCCCACCCACCAACACCTATACACACACACATAAGCAACACTCTGCACTATAGTGGACAAAAATCCTTTGGACACAAACAGTCCCATCGACCAGAAGGGCTTATTTAGAAGTCCACACGGGGCGCAGGGATGGGGCTGAAATACTATTCTAGCATTTCTTTCTTCACTGTCCTTTGAACTGAAGAGCTGGCAGCATTTAACCATTTTATTGTGGGCTAATGTTTCAGCAACCACTGATTCCAATAGACATGAAAGGGCATAAAAACACTACTCATTGCTCAGGAATTTGGACTTATAAAGCATATAAAAGGCCACAGGCAAGCTATTTGATACTAATGTAGGTGTAGTACTTTTGGTTTTCCATCATCTTGAATATTACTTACCTATTACTTAAATAAACTTAATAAATCTGCTCCTTTCAATATGTTACACACATCTAAAATATTCCCTAAATACATAGTGTTGATAGAGGCTTCTGAATGAACACAATCTGGTATGAGCAAAGCGATTATATATTCTTTCATAATTGAGTAGTCAACCTACTACTCACGTTCCACATTTTGTTCTGTATTTTGTTTGCAAGTAGTTAGTCTATATCATAAATTACTTTCATTTTTAAAGTTTAATGATTAGAATGAGAGAAATAAAAGAACAACTGATTAATTATCTAATTTTAAGCATGAAAAGAGAAACTATATTGTATAACATCCTTAATAGTCATATTTCTTTATAAGAACTCTCTTTTAAATACTTTCTGTCAATCATGTCAAACCTTAAAAAAAGATCTGACAATATGTAAAAACGGGTGATTAATAATTAGGGACCTGCTAAAACAAGTGGTCCATTGACTATTGTGTTTTATTGCGCAGGTTTTGTTCTAAAAATAAACCACAATTAGCAATCTCCAGAGTAGCAGCTGTGTTTTAAGGCTGTAAAACCCCTGAACTCACAACTGCTGAAATTTGAGGTATCATATCACAGAGATATGAAACCTGTTGGTTGTAGGTCCGAGCGCTGCTGCAGCCCCAAAATCCGTGGCCACAAAACACACTGTAAAAATACAGCTACAGAGGACACCACGCTGAGGGGCATGAGCAGGACTGAGCAGGACTGAGCAGGACTGAGCAGGACTGAGCAGGACTGAGCAGGACTGAGCAGGACTGAGCAGGACTGCAGGAAGACTGTAGTAGTCCCTGAACTAATCATCACAGTGCACACGAGACACAAACGTTTCCTCCAGACTTTTAATAAAGGAAAATGTCATTTTATATTTATATGATAGTTATATGATTTTGTTGGATGCTGCGCATGAGAAGCACACTGTAAAAAAGGCAGGACAAAAACATGCACTGTGTTGTATCGAGGTACCACTGTATAAAAAAGATACAACTGGTTTTGTTAATTAACATTTCCCCCTGTGGTTTTTTCAAGACTTTTATATAGATTTTATTTTTGATGTTTTGACTTTAATAACAATGAATATCCAATAAATTAAATCTACAATGAATCAATACATTTTTGTTAAAATGTGGTGCAGCATCTGATAAGGAGCCAAATGCCCTTATTAATTTACTATATTGTTTTTGTATCAAATTTAAAGTCCCCAGTATCGAGATGGGCTTTCAGCAGGTTGTCTGTTATTTCGAACAGGATTTCTTCATTTTAACAAACACTTAACTGCATGCTTCAAAATCTCCACGCTGATTACGATCAAATGATGTATAGTAATACATTTGAATATCGCACAGTAAGTGGTGTGCTTAACGGTGAAATATCCCTGCTCATTAATCAGCTTCTAATAACATCTTACCTGCCAAATAGATGGATCGCGTTAGCAAAGGTGAAGAGCTCATCAATGCTAATTTGGCTTTATTAAATTCAAGTGACATGCTCTTTTTGTTTACGCCAAAATCTACCTATAGTATTTCAGCACTAAAAGGGGCAGTTTGTGTCGGGAGAAATCATCTAAAAATACATGTAAAGCATCTTTGCTTCTTTCGCCAAAGAATTCAAATCCAACATGCTAAAGAGCAGAGCCAAAACAATTGAGAACGGGTCCAAACTCTGTGCGGCGACTATTCTAAGCTGTGAACAAGAGGCGCCGTGTGTAAGCACCCACCCACTCCGACAACAAGAGCAGAGGCAGAAATATCACTACAAATGACTTCACTATGTGGTTTCACTATTACTGTGTATAGATGTTTGAATGGGAGTGAAGTTCTGTTATTTGCTCAATGGAAATAGAAAATGACCACAATCTGTCCCCTTAATATTGTTTAAAAGTTAAGTTGCAATAATATACAGGTGAAACTTGGGGAATACACATCCTTTTACTTAATATATTAAACTAATATTACAGGCAAAGTGAGATACATGTATATACAGCTTTTTTAGTTTAAAAGTTGATAACTCTGGCACACAGCTTGTTAAAATCCAAAATAAAACGTCTCAGAAGTACTGTAAACCATAATCAAGATTATGGCACATAAAACTTGGCACTGTCGGCGGCAGAGCATTTAGCTACCAAGCTCCTTTACTGTGGAATCAGCTTCCCATCCATGTTAAGGAAGCAGACACGGTCTCCACATTCAAGGCCAGGCTTAAAACACTCTTCTTCAATTCAGCATATGGTTAGGTTGTTTGTCTGGTTTTGGAATCTGCTTGTAAGGGACCCCGTCTGGCGTACCATTGCATCTTTCAACCTTTGTTACTATACATTGTGGATTACACACTTTCTTTGGTGCTGTAGCCTGGGCTAGCCTAGCCGTGGCTGCTGCTTAGTTCGGACACGGTCTTTAAATTCAAGTCTAGGCTTAAATTAGCATATGGTTAGGAAGGTAACACTCAGAGAAGGCTAAACATCTTAGACTGTCAGTCAAGCTGCAAAGGGAGTCAGTTTGCTGGGAAAAGTATGGTAACTTAAGCACAATCCTCTCCTGCTTCCTACTTTATCTGTCTGCATTATTAGGATTTGGACTGTAGACCTCCTCCATCTTCACCTGCGGACTGCCCTGCCCGACCCGCCTGGGAGTGCTTCAGTCTTGCACCGGACCTATCCACGTTCTGCCCGTCCGTCCGTGTGGAGCGGATCCCTCTCTCAATGTGGATCTCCTTGAGGTTTCTCACTTTTTTCGTTTCGTTTTTTTGTGTGAGTTTTTTCTTGCCGATGCATTAGTCTGTTGGACAGTTAGTGTCTAACAACAAGAACTGTGGACATTTCTCAACATTCATCAATCAATCAAACTTTATTTATAAGGCTATACAAATTACAAATTGTAATTTGTATTGCCATGGTAACTCTGGACATGGAGCCAATTTGCGAGTTACGACGGGCCTCTTGTCTTCATCTTTGTTCAGAGGTGCCTGGTTCTCCAACCTCATCCCTAACTTGTTTCATGTGACTTCTGACACAGTTTAGTGATCAATATTCTCTTCAGGCATACTTAATTACCCCAGAGGTAAATGTGTCCTCTGCTTGTGACTTTTATTCTTTAATGCCACTAGGACAACCTGACCTGTAAACATCAACATATGATGGATACATGAACATTCTATACATACATTATCAGAGGTTACAGTTCAGTTTAGCATACACTCATTCATCACACATGGGTGCACAGATTTGTATTTCCAAAAGAGATTTTATGTTCGGTGCGCAAATACTCCACTGACTGCAGCTCTCTGTGGACTACAGCTGGAGGATTTTACCCATGGTACATGTTTTGGCTGGTGGGGGAAAACTGAGTGACACCAGAAAGGGCCTCAACAAACCTCTGAGGCATCACAGAACTCATACTGATACTGTATCAGATTTATCACTTCATCCATTCATCAATTACACGCAACAACTAAAAGCGGAACTACACAGTATGTTAATTAAATAACTATTATAAAATAAATACCAACTATCTGTCAAGTGACACAATGTGAAAAAGTTTGTGCTCATGTCTCTCCATGACTCTTGTTGTGTGACTTGTGACTTCAAACACACTATTCGGCCATACATTTGCTTTGGATCAGTTTTGGGCCAACATCTTAAATGACATGAAGTTTTAGTGCAGCATTAGCTCCAGTCCATCAGAAGATGGCACCGCAGTAAGTATGGACGGCTGCCAATGTTGTAGTGGATAATATCACATTGTTATAGAGTTTGTTTAACTTCATTGCATATATTTTGGGAAAGGAGGACATTCAGCTCATAATATCACATCTGGACAAAAAGGTTTTTCTTACCCCCTACCTCAAGGGTAAACAAATGAAATATTCTCTCTCCTATCTTTTAGGAATAATTTTGTGTTATGTGGTCAAATCAAATCAGTACATATTTTCTTGTTCATCAGTGATTTTTCTTTTTTTACCCATTTATTTAATTTCAACCACACACACACACGCAATCGGTCCAAACAAGTAATCAATTTTCAAAAATACATCTCTAAATAATAAAGACAAACTGGTAAAATGCTGAGTCAATAAATAGGTTGTTTTGGGACAACTTCACTGATTTTGTTTGCCTTTTTTGTAGAGGAATTGAAACACGTCAGACAAAGAAGACGAGAGAAAGTGAATAATGCTCGTTTCTCACAACAGCGTACCTGAGTGTCCGGTGCTGACGTGGCCCTTCATGTCGCCCTCGTCCATACACACGTAGTCGCACACGCTGCAGCACAGGGAGAACATCCACTGCTCCTTGTCCACATGGAGCGACATGTGGCTCACAAACTGGGCATTGAGCTCCGTCTGGAACCCGCACACGTGGCAGCTGCGCGCACAAGACACGGCAAGTGAGACGGCCGCGCAGACGGACACGCCACATTCGGCTGCATAAATTTCACAAGCGGTGGCGTCGTTGCAGTTTTGGAAATCAAATTGTGTGGAAGAGTTTTAAAAGTTGGAGAGGGATTTCTTTTGTTTTTTTTTGCGTTGCAGTGTTGAACGTGGCTTGAGGAAGAAGTCAATATTATTCAGTATATTTTGGATTAAGGAAAATGTTAACGTCGGGGTACCTTGCTTCTCTGTTTCATAAATATTACATATTGTTTGCACCGTGAGAAAAAGTCATGAATGTGAAAACAGTTTTGAGAACTAGTTTGGATGAATTTGCTTACATTTACAGTTTTAAGATTAGGTGGCAAAGCTTTAATGGTTGACAATACATGCTTAAGTGAGCAAGTTTTGGGATTTCTGTTTGTCTAAACAGATTGCATAGCTTCAATTTCTATGAGTAGACTGAATTTATCACAGCATATTTATTGAAAGCCAGAATTCTTCAAATACGTAACCATAACTATGTATTTTTGTCATTTTGGTACAAAGGAGGACTATTACCCCCAAAGTTAAATTTAGGTAATTCCTTTGTGAAAGTGCTGTAGCTGAGTTTAGGATTTTTAGCTGGAAAAAAACATGCTAGTGTTGTTTCGTGCACGCACCTGTAGTAGTAGAGGCAGTTCTTGCGCTCGGTGGAGTCAGCTGTGACCGCGCTCACAATCTGCTCTGTGTCCGTGCTGACCAGTTTGACTGAGTGGATGGTCAGATGCTGATTGAGGTTCGCCCTGCACTTGGCGGCGTAAGGACACAGGTGACACTTGTACTTCCTCTCCTCTGAAACGGTACACAAGACCATGTTGGTGTTAGGATAAATATTTTAAGTGCGCATTTACGGCAGGTTTTATATTTGGAAAAGGTTTTGCTTTAATAATCGTGTACAGTAATTGGAAGTCATTTACGTAAAAGAAGATTAGATTAAAACATCTCGGGTACAAAACTTTCAAACTATAAATAAGACCTATGCAATAGCATCCATGTAACATGTTCATCGCTCTCAAAAGAGTTTGGTTCCATCACTAGTTGTACTTGAATGTACACATGCTTCACTCACTCAGCCAACCAGCTTCCCAATGCGTCATATATTGATTCATGGGATAATATGTGTTCTAATAAGGCATGTGGTGGTCTAATTTGTTCACAAATCTACGAGCAAATGAAAAAAGTAAGATACCCAAGCTTTTAAATGCAGATACATCACAGACAGAATAATCATAAATATCTCAGTATAATAAACAAACAATCCATACAATAGGGCTGTCTTTAGTTGTTTAGGAGATTTTTTGCCTTTCACCACTGTGCGCCTTAGTGGTTCCCAACCATACCTTTAGCTCCTCAAATTCATTCTGGTCAAGGCCACAACTCTTTTTAGGCTTTACCAATATACCAATACCAATATCTCCATTGTTCTCTTTTGGGAAAGTTTTCTTATAAAAGGGATGTAAAAAAAAAAAAAAAGAGGGGAAAAAAAGTGAGAAACCTTAGGGAGGCCCACATTGTCCACTCCCACGAACGGACAGGACTCAGGCAGGAGGACCAGGACTGAGGCTGTGCAGTGCAAGACTGAAGGGAATCCCAGTCGTGGAAGGGGGTGCAGCCCATGAGTCTGGGCCAGGGCCCCAGACCTTTCACCATGCCTTGACATTAAGCTTTTTCAGCCACTTGCCATTTTATATTTTACTTGCCCAATGTCAAAAGTTACTTGCCCGAATATTTCTCAATACAATGAGTAAACAGGAGTTTGGCAATAACGTGGCACTAACTGTGGAAAAAAAATCCACTCTCAGCCTAAAAAGTCAAATAACGACTCACTTAAAAGATGCAGTCAGTGATTTTTTACAGATGCATTTTTTTTTTTTATATTCTGGGAAAACATCCTCAAACCCTAAAAGTAGTCAACTTATCATGTGTTTTCAAAAAGTAATGGAATTGACCAGATGCCTATAGTCTCCAAAAATGCATTTATTTTTTTGGAGCGGACCAATAACAATAAACCAATCGGACCAATTTGTTCATCCCCAATGAACCAATGGGATGCGTTTTCCCCTTCATTTCTCGCAAGTGTGCGCACCTGAGTTATCTGATTATTTTCTAAAACCTTAAATGGCTGAAAAGAAAATGCCAATTCCACGTCTGCCACTCTCCCTTTTGTGACAAAGAAAAGGAAATGCTAGATGTTTGGTTTGGTGGCGAGCCGGGGGGGGGGGAGTGGTTTTGAGTTGGTGCTACGGCTAAGCTAATCTCTAAGTAAAACAAGACGCCTCTCCTGGTGTGTTCAGTTTGATTTGTTCACAACATTTTACTTTAGTGCACAACCAACATGCATTTTTAATGCAAGGTGCCTGAACGTTAATTTTGTGAGTTGTGGTTGCACATAGGTTGGAGACACGGGGAGACCTGCAATTTGCAACAAGCTGGGGATGGTCCTGAACGCGTCTCAATGGTTCTTTCCACATGTCAAAATAATATCGTTATTGCGATATTTGTGAGTGCAATATCCATATCAAAATTATGCGTGATAAAAAAATATATGATGCGTCTTTCTGTTTTGTTGTCTTTATTAAAGAGATTTTTTTATTTTTTTGTATATATATATTTTTTATTTTTTATCCCCTTTATTAAAGACAACAAATCAGAAAGACACATCAACATTCAACAAGAACAACAAACAAACAAAAAAGCATATAAATATATGCATTTGAATGTCATTAATGTTGTGTTTATTTTTTGTTATTTGTTTCATGCGGTTCAATGCAGAGATTTTAGGTCGCAATAATATTGTTTTCAAAATACTAAACACTCATATCGAATATTGCTCTAATTTCCAATATTGTGCAGCCCTAAAATGAAGTACTGCTTACTTGTGAAGGTCGTGATGTAAACGCCATGGCCTAAATGACTCAAATCCAATTGCGAGGTGAGAACACACTAATTATTTCCTTGTAAGGTTAACAGGACAGATGGAGGAATGTTTTTTGGTAAATGTAGTTCTAAACAATCACCAATCCCTCCACAATCACCTCACATCTCACAGTGCAGACATATCCATACATCTCACCGTTGCCTCTTCCTAACCGTCCCCCAGATCCTTCCCCCTTTCAAATACTGGTACAGCGCCCCCATTTGCCCAAAGGACATGAAGCCAGGCAACCTTTATGTCGCCGGGGAAACCAAAAAGACCATTGCACTGACATATGCCCCTACTTCTGCTCTCTGTGGTGTGGCCAAGCTGTTCTCGGCCAGAACGCTCAGATGGCGAGTGTGTTTGTGTGTGTGTGAGAGAGTGTAGTGTGTGGTAAATGTCCAAACGTGTGGGGGCATTTTGTACATGAGACTCCATTTGCGTGCCTGGTAATTTAGTCTGCTGTCCAGGGCATTTTGCATTTGTGTCTAATCTCTTCATTTTCTGTATGTAGCTTTGTTTGTTATAACCCTTTAAGGTGCCAAAAATATAATGTGAAACAGACAAACGATGGGGCCCTGAAACTTTAAAAGAGATAGGGGACTATACTAAAATCAATACCAGAAAAAAATAAAGTAAATACATTTACTACTTGAATACCACAATGCTACAGTCTTCCCGCAGCTCTCAGTCCTGCTCCTGCCCCTCAGTGTCCTCTGCAGTGTTAAATGCACAGTGTGTTTTACAGTGTATGCACAGCTTTTAACAGCTGCAAATATGGACCCACTGAAGCACTCATCTTTGTTAAACTTCAATTTGACATTTTATTTTGAAGAATGAAAAAAATAGCAAAACAAAATAGTCCCCTCATTACCAATAAAACCATATTTAGACAGCTTCCATTACTTAAAACTATAGTATCTAACTTTGAAACCACAAAAATGAACTCTTTCATAAAATACATGTTTCTTGCTTTCATAAGAGTTCCATCATGCGTTTTCACATGCACACATTTCATGGCCTCTCTCTTTAGACGAGCTTTCTCAGTTAAAACATGAGAGGACCACCCTCACTCAGACAATCAGCTCTCAATAGAAAATGTTACTTACTCTCTCCGCTTTCTGTTGAGAGAAACAATGTACGTATTGGAACAAAGAAAAAGTTAGGTACTCCAGCTTTAAAAATACATGGGTAAATTCCCACTGTTAGCCAGGAGGAGCACATCGTTACCAACAGTCTCTGCGTATTCCACAGCTCTTATGAACTCAATCAATTTTCAAATGTCATGCCTGCGGTTAATCCCTTTGAATATCTCCAAATATTCATTTATTGTTCTAATAATCCTGGGGATGAAGTAAGGGTCTCCATAGGCCAGAGCAACCAACCAGCACTGTTTACAAGCACAGCGTAATCAAAACACCGGGGACCAAGAGCAGGATTGGGCTGGGTGTTATTGGATGTTTTGGACCAAACTGTGCCAGATTGACCAGAGTATGTGCGGAGTTTGTTTTGTTGTGGACATGCTCGGCAAGGCAGCCTTCTTGTGGGGTGATTAGATGTGTCTGTATTCCCAGGGAGACTAATCATGGACTTAATCTGTTTAAAAGAAGGGTAATCTGCTCTAGTAGGCATTATTTACTTACCGTAGATGGCGCCAACACAAGTAATATCGAAAAGATGTGTTGGAAGACTTGTAGCGTACCATATACTCAATGAAGCCCAATAGGGAAGTGCTAATGGGTGAATTACTGCTCAGACTCGCACTGGTTCCTATCGACTTACGTTGAAAAGTAAACTCCTCTAGTTCAGGAACTGTTCGTGTCACACTCGTAATTTTGGGCTTACAAAATCCATGGTTTGGCGCCCCTGGGGTTGTTAGTTTTATATCGTCTTTATAATGAGCCTTATAAAGATGGACCAATCAGATGCCTTCTTTTGCTAACTCCATCTTGCATTACAGGCTAAAGCTAACGCCATGGAAACAAATGCTGATATAAGCAAATTGGTTTCATCTAGCTTATGGTCAAAATTGACATCAGATAACAAAACGGTGACTGGGTCAGTCCTCTCCTAATGCACAGTCCAAGTAGCGTACCTGTGTGTAGTGCTAAGTGTCTGGAGAGGGTCTGCTGTCTTCCAAACACTTTCCCACAGATCGGACAGGGGAAGAGCTGCTCGTTCAGCCTCCACTGGCTGATTCCATTGCCCGGCTCGCCGTGGTCCTTTTCCAAGTCTGAAAACCGCAGACAAATGTTGATGAGATACAGATTTATGCAATTCTGAATACAAAAATTGACTTAAAGCTGCGGTGCCTGACTTCCCAGGTCATTACATGGAATTCTTAAATGAAACAAGCATCTAATTTCACATGCAAAATAGAAATTAAAGCATAACATTGTGACAATAGATCCATGATTACATAGAAATGAGACAGAAACTCCATCCCTGTTGGTATCAGGACATTACCTGCTCTTTAGTTATAAATTACAATAATCTATTTTTTCTTATTTCACATTTGTTCCCATCATTTTTCAGCCTTTTATGCATCTTACTTAGATATTACATTTACATGAAAAGGATATTACTTCCTTGAAATATTTCAAGGAAATAAAATAATACAAATTCTTATTTCCTATTCATTTATTAGTATGTTTAGAACAGTTCTTATTAAAGAAACAAAAGATTGTGTCATTGATTTCTCACTGTGTTTTTTTGCCTCATCGTCTGCCTCTCTTTAGAGGCAGACGATGTCGAACAGTGGCTCACAGGGCTCTTTCTTACACGTATGCATAAGATAACATGTTTTCTAATAAGATGCCGTTGTCTTATTCTAACAGGTAACAAGTTGCAGATGAAGAAAACATATTTGCAATGCAAATTTGATAGAAATATTTCATTGCGATTTTTTGCTTACAATTTTAATTTATTTGTGATTTATGTATAAAGCCAAGATAAGGTTTCAACTGCACCAGGATATTTCCAATTTGAGGGAGACTGTTGAAATGAACTGACAAAAAGCAAATTCACTTAAAATCCCACAGTGATTTGTTCCATGGTGTTAGCGCTACAGGGGCAGACATGTCTTGCCAAGATGGTAAGAAGGCAAGCATTTACCGAACAAATTAAGGCAATTAGATCAAAACTACATGGCTCATAACTGCATTTACAAAGACAATATCAGAGCTGCTAAACAAAATTTTTTAGCCCCAAAATTTTGAATGTAAGTCAATACGAGTTTGAATGTAAGTCAATACGATCCAGAGCGAGTAGAAGCAAAACTTCATCCATGAGCACTTCCCTATTGGGTTAAATTGAGCTAGGGGGTTAGCATTGCCCGTCTACACAGAGTCTATGGTTTAACGATGAGGTGAGTGCGGCCAGTGGATCTTTCCTATCAGCTGGAAACAATAGGGGCTCTCATACACTGTGGGCTAATTTGTTCACCCACAAGACTGAAACCTGTCTGGCAGCGTTTGACAGCTGCTCTGTGCGCATGGCCTGGGGGCAGCATGCCGCGCAAAATACAATCTTAATGTCAACACAAAGCACTGGTCCTTTGCTCTGAGCCTACAGCTGTATCATCTGCTGAACAGCTATTCTGCTGCTGTAATCGTTTTGTAATAAGAGGAAGCCGGGCTGTTGTGCTCTGATTAGTTTACGTTTGAGAAAATGTAGGTACCCCAGCTTTAATATTATTTATTTTCCATGGATTTCCGATAAAGATACTGTTTGAGTATGTAAGAAGAGTGAGCACTGCTCTGGATTTTGTATGCGAATAGGTTGCTCTTCAAGATCCAAATGCAAAAAGCTCAATTTTGAATTTTCAATGTATCCACAAATTGAAGTTATAAAATCAAGGACAAGCAAAGAACTGCTCTCTTCTCAAATATGTGAAGCATAACTCCATAAGAGAAGTCAAAAATGCCACAAGGTTACTCATTGTCAATGCATACTACTATAAAATTAAAAGAACTGTATGCACTGTGTACAGTGCATACAGTACATACTTCACTTTTTACACATTTTGCAATGCTACAGCCGTATTCCAAAATTGATTAAGTTTTTATTTTTTCTTATCAATATAATTGCAGTACCCCAAAATAACAGTGATAATCAGTAATTCAAGTCACATGTATGCAAGTATTCCCATTACAGCATAACATCTTCTTGGGAGAGGATACTATAAGCTTGGCACAGCTACTTGACAGACTCTCCAAAGTTCTCACTGGGTAAACTGAGAACGTCTCTGAAAAGCTATTTTCTTGTATTTCCAGTGATGTTCAGTTGAGTTCATATCTGGGCTCCCTATTGTATCATTCAAGGACATGCACAGCCCTGAAGCCACTCTTTAGTTCTTGTATCTTGGCTGTGTGCTCTGGTCCTTATCCCGTTGAACGCCCCAGTCTGAGGTCCAGCGCTCTAGAGCTAGATTTCATTCAGGATGTCTGTACATTGTCGCAGTCATCTGATTCCTGACTTGTCTCCCTGTCCTTGCCTAGCCGTCAGGCCAAAGAGTTCTATACTTTTACTGAGGAGAAGCTTCTGTCTGGTCTCTCTTCCATTATGTCCGAAATGGTGAAAATTATTATCCTTTCTTGAAGGTATTGCTGAAGCAGGTGGACAGCTTTGGCAACAGTCTGGTTTTTAAACTTTTTCCATTTCCTGATGAGGGCCACTGATGTTTATGAGTCCTTTCTCAGATCGGTGTCTCGATATAATTCTGTCTAAGAGTTTTTGTCATAAAAGAAATAAGTCCATTTTGTAACAAGACAATTTAACAATAAAAGAATAATACTTTTGGAGATCACTGTTGTCAATCTGTCGGACGGTGAAACTTGAGTTGAGAAAAGCCTTTGATGACCTCCGGGTGACGACACATAATACTCTTGCTTAGATGTAAAATTAGGTCAGCAGATAAATTAAATATTTAATGGTAAATAAATGTCACCCTGAGTCCACCATAGAGAAATTACAGGCAAAAATTTGGGAAAGGTTTGAAATTATTAAATTTTTTGAATCAACTATTATTTTTTCATTTCTTTTTTTTTTTTTACTTTACTTTACTTTTTTTTTTTTACAAGTAGCAATTGTTTAAAGTCTAGTATGTTGAAGTTCACAACGTATACCCTTAAAGCTGGGGTACCTGAATGTTGCTCTTACAAGCTCTAAAGAGTCTTGCAACAGTAAAATGCTATAAATGATAAGAAATCAGACCAAAACATGTTATCTTTTGGATACTTGTAAGAAAGAGTCCTGTGAGTCACTATTTGACACTTTGTGCTGAGAGCTGTTTGGCTGAGGGGGGGTGATCCTCACTTTATTCACTTTTCTGTCTAGTGATAGAACCAAACTGTTTAGAGTGCGAGGAACTAGTTGGATTTTATTGCATTGTTCCTTTTCTTGCACTCCAGGTTTAATTTATTGAAGCAGTTTAACAAAATAAACTTGTGCTGTATTTAAGTATTACAATATACTTCAAAAATGGTATTTGAAAAATGTATCATGCAAAATATCCTTGCAAAATTTGTTTACAAAAAACCCTTCCAGCCAACTCCTAATCCACTCTGCCATGTATTCTTTGCCAATGTTGGACATCCTAGATCAGTATAACCTGACCCGAGCTTAGCCAACAGAGGCATTAGCTGGTCCCGTCTCCTGTCCGAGCCTTGGAGGGATGTCCCCGGTCACACGAGGTGACGGCGAGCCATGGCCGCGGCGACACACTGGTGATTAAGCCAATTAGAGTGACGGTGTGGTCCTTCGAGTGGTTAATAGTTTAATCAGTGTTATTAGAGAGAAAGAGAGAGACGCAAACAAGGGATGGAGGCCGAACAAGAGAGGAGTTGGATGTTTAGCGCTATCACACAAACTCTACTCTCGCGGTCTCCGAAGCATGGAAGAAACGTAATTTCTACATTAACCCTATGGATCTATAATCATTTCTGAATAGGGTATTGCTAGCTTGCCAAGTCCCTCTGTGCACGTGCATGAGAGCCCCACACAAGTATTTGGCGCAACGCTTAATGGGAGCTCGTCCACTGCCCAGAACCGGGAGGACCAGACAATGCCCAATATGGCCAAGTTCCGCTAATCTTTCGGCCTCCATGACTGTCCAATGTGCTGCTAAGCACAAGCCATTGATGTGAATAGGGCGCCATCTTGGATCACCGGGGCTAGAACCCTACTGATATCACTGCTATTGTAATTAGCATCGTCTGAATTGTTAGGGGGAAAAAACTACAACTACTACTGCACTGCACCGCCTTAGTCCACATTCTAAAACAAGACTCTAACACTAGGGCTCCCAGAATTCTGCAACTGCCAAATCTCCCAGAGCCGTCATTTTGACTGCTCCTATTCAAACCAATGGGATTATGAAAATGTCCCTCAAATAATGTTTTGTTTTTCATCTGATTCATTAAAAGAAAGTAATTTAGGAGGTTTTTGCATTTACTCACTTTTAATTGGTAAGTGCTAGAATTGGTCAATGTAATTGCAACTGGAATCCAGCATACAGTACATCTGGCAGTAAACAGTGTGTTGCTATGGTAATTAGCCCTAGATATGTCTATTTGTGGTGGAAAATGAGTTAAAGGTAGAGTCGCTAATCACATTTCAAAAGTAAAAGTTAATTCTATAATAAAAAGGACATACAAGTAAACTAAAGAAAGATACAGAAAAAGTCACAACATATGTAGACTACAAATGCACATTACTTGCAGTTACTGTATATGTTGTTTTTGAAGTATACACACAATGCATAAGAAGCACTGAAAAAATAGTGAGCAACCACTTCTGTACATACTGCTTTGGTGTGGTGTTGAATGAGTTACAGGAGATTGTAATAATATATACATCTGCTTCATTCATCCCCTTTTCAAACTATGTATATAAATATCGGTCTGTGATTCGTTTTTTTTTAATTACAGGTTTTGAAATTAATAAATCAATCAGACACTATTGAGTGCCAGGGCATTTTTAGCACAAATAAATATTCTAATCAAATCAGTGAATTCCCCAGGACTAAAAAGCATCACATGGTCTCTCACAGGTATCAAGATAACTTTTGTAAAAGTTCAAACAACTTCCCACCTCCTAACTCTGCAGCCTTGTACCAAACAATACTTAAATGTGACAGAGCTCCTGTGTAGGTACATTTAATTTACTAGAAAGGGAATAAAAACCTTTAACAGTCTGACAGTAAAAGCAAGACGGAGGATGAGAGGCTTTGGGCACACGGGGGAGAGAGGAGAGGTGGTCTGGGCGAATTAACTTTCAGGACACTCTTGACACCCAGGAGCCAATCAGATTTTCATTAACTGGCAGTGGGACAGGCAAAGCTGGCACAAGCTAATTAACCTCTGTAAGTGTCAGTGCCAAAGACGCGCAGAGGAGCGGTTCGATCGGGAAGCCAGTTTGGGAGGGGCGAGGGCCGTACCCGGGCAGAAGGCACCGGGGTTGGGGCAGAAGTTGGCGCGTGCCTTGGGCCTGGTGGCTGGTTGAACGTGTGAATATGGAAATTAAGGAAGGCTGAGAGGAGGACTTGTGTGTCTCTGTTCTTGTGCAAAAGTCTAGCGTGTGGTGGGTGTTTTGTTTGCGGCGTGGAATTATGCACGTTCATATGTCCCAGCGTAATTACAGGGCATATTAAGTAGTTTCTGAGAGCTATAAGATAAATACTATTGTGTGCGGTGCTGTGAATGGAAACTCTGGGAGCAGATCTGTTTAAGTTGTCATTTATTACTGTGTACAAAGGCCGTAATTATTTGTATTCCAATAAATAGTACATTTTTCAATTAATTTTTTGGTTTAGATATCAGGTTAATATATAAAAGGCTTATTTTTAAATACATTGGACCAAAACAATATTGATACACGATATGGGTATCTGACTAGAGGGAACTTACAAGCAAAAATGTGTACATAAATATACATACAATAGATTATACATACATTTAAGAAATATACTATCTATATGTAATATTTCATTTAACACATTTTCACATAACACTGTGAATACATTTCAAAAAAGACAATAAAAAAGCTCTCAGCCCGAAGCTTCTTATAGTGGCTCTGTCATGCAAGTGTGCAAAAGGTGTTTTCTCACGTGATAAAGTCAGCATTGTGTGTCTAATATGTTCACATCATTTTACTTTTACAATACTTTTTTCTATTAAAAAAAAAGTCTTACCAGACAAAATATATTTTATATGAATAAAAATGTAGGTACCCCAGCTTTAACTGTGTAAGATGTAAGCAAGTATTTTTGCTACACTTGGGTCAAAATTTCCCACCAAAGTGAGTTAAAGTACAAGGAAAATACCCCAAATAAGGGTCTAAAGGATCTAAATGGCCCAGGGCTGGTCAAGTTAGGAAAATATCAAAATTCAGCCCAAAAATATATATATTGAGGGGATCTTTTAAAAAAAGGGGTGGTTCAATTTGACTCGAGCATAGAGAAAGGCTTTAATATCGCCCTTTCACAGACAGAATAACAAACATGTTGTGAGTATTCTTTTTGATGTATGCTGGGTTTAAACATCCTGGATCTATTTGACACAGGGAGAACATGCACAAAGCCCCCGACTGATGGTTTGACCATTGTGTGTGACCATTGTCTCACACAATGATTAGGCCTATGTAATATATACATTCCTGTGGCTTAATCGATGCTGAGGTCACACTGTTGGAGATGTCCACATTTTATATCTAGATCATTCTTCTCTTTTTTTGCTTTGAAGCATAGTATACCATGTTGATCTGTTCTCACCAAAAAGTAAAAACGTAAAAATTAAAATAAAAGTTATGAATACAAATATTTGATTTTATACTCAAAATCTTAGCATGGCAAGCACACCCTAATTAATATCAGTTATGGTAATTATTAGGGAAATGCTATAGCTGAAATATTAATGTTTTTATGCCTTATGTGGTTTGGTTCTCACAAACAGTAAATAGTGATAAGAGTATTACAGCCTCACAGACTTCCAGCCTGCACGTCTCCCAAGTCCAAAGACACAGTGAAATGTTATGTGCTGCCTGTCGTACGCACACAGAGGTACAGGTGAGGTCTTACTGTGGAGGTCGGGCCGGTTGGAGGAGCTGGCCTCTGCGGGGGATGAGCTCTTGGAGCGCGAGTTAAAGGGTGATTGTCTGAAGCACTCGTCCAGAAAAGGACTGAAAACACACAGGACATGAGCCATCAGACAGACACCAAGTCCAGCGAGCCACATTACGCTGTGACAAAGTGGGATTGGCCAACACAGTTATACACAATACACATTTTTTACATTTAATTTGGGTTCTGACATGTAGATATTAAAACGAATCATGATGATGATGATATTATGGCAGATTTCAATGCATTTAGAACGGGACTATTGAGAGGACAACTGAGAGGACCACATCTGCTGCAGCCTAACAGAGACGATACTATACAAGTGCAGCCATATGCCTTCACAGAAGATTTCAAACTTTTAGTCCATGGACCTCCAAAAATAACCATGCAACTGACTCACAGCCACAATTGCAGTATACAGGGTAACTGAGAATTAGAACACCATTCAAAAGCTCCCTTTTTCCTGTAACTCAACTTACAATGCGAAACCAATATATGATATAGACTTTTTACATGCAAAGTGACAGATGTCGAGCCTTTGTTATAATTGTAATCATTATGGCATTATTAAAACACAATGTTTTATTTGGGGTTTTAACAAACTGTGAGCCATAAATACCAACAATATAAGAAAAAAAAGGCTTCATATATTTCTTACTTTATGTGTAATGAGTCTGATGTAGATTAGATTCACAGTGCAAGTTGAATTGCATGACTTGACTTTTTAATGACATTCTAATTTTAAGTTTAATGTGATGTTGTTTATTGTGTAGTTCTTCGGGGCGGGTCCAACTGGTGCTGGTATTCAAAAAACGTCATCTTCAAAATGTTAAGACTAACTGAAAACACATTGGTCAACCAGAAAGGTCAGAATCCAGCAGTAATAATTGAGCTTGAAACTTTAGTCATTTCTATGCTAAGAATAGAAGTAAGAATTTGAATAATGTATCCGTTTTATACAGAACCTCTTTGGACACTCAAAAACGCTTCACATGGTATTATTTGGAAAAGATTGTGATAAGCTACTACTGCCACCACAGCTGCCCTCTGGCATCAGCCCTTCCAAGCACTACCAGCCATTCACGAACACACCAGACTCACTCAAGGGTGGGTGTCTTGCCGTAGAACACAAGAGCAATTTGGCCCTTTACAGCAGCTCCATTGTGGCACCTGTTGTTCCCAGAGCTCTCCCATCGCTATACTAACCAGGCTCTGCTCTACTTAGCTTCAGAAACACACCATCAATAAAAAGTGATTCTATTTCACTGACCTCAACTTTTGGCTCACCTGTTTTTCCCCACCATGTTTGCATCTTTGTGGTTGTTGGCTTTGCTGACTTTTTCTGAAAAAGAAGAAAAAGCATAGGTATGAATTATCAGGTTTAATCATCCAAACAAAGCCTCACAGAATTGCCCTCTCTGACCCCAGCGCACTTAATGCAGTGAAGTTCTGATCAAATTTCCCTACAGGAACTTAATCTCCTCTAAGCCCTGAGTAAACGTTGGTTAGCAGCTCGCTCCCTCCTCAGCGTTAAACATAATGCACATACATAAAAGCTCCATTATGTTCCTGTATGCCGGCCAATAATGCCTGCAGACTGTAGGGTGAGCTCTGCTGGGGAGACGCAGGTCGGAGCGGCAGGGTGCAGTGGCCATCTGGACTGGTGGGAGTCTCTTGCGAGTCCAAAGTCGCCCTGTGGGACAAAAGTTAGCCCCATAGTGGGAACAATTTTGAGAAACTGTAATAATGAATTCCACTACCCAGATGGCACATGTGGGATTTTGTATAGTGCTGGCACGTAACCTATAGAGTGGGCCTTTTTAACAGCAGTGAAGTTCAAAAGTGACAAAGTTTGAAAGTATAAGTATTTCAAAGCTTCAACATAAACATTATACGCGGCACACAGTGAAGAGAGCGAGCGTTCACACTCACACATTTATTTTAAATAAATTGGCAACAAAATGAATACTTAAAATCTGGTCGAAACAAGGATTTAACTACGAACGGAAATAACTGAATTTAGGTCAAACTGGGATTAAGTGGCCAAAAAATATAACACTGCCAAAGGTGCCGTTTAGCATGTTAATGTTTTAGGTAATGTTACCAAACTGGATTCAAATACAGATTCTTTCATTCAAATGATCAAGTTTGTATTATTTGTAGATTATAAGCAAAATGTGGCTAGTAGTTAAGGATTCCAGGTTTTAATTGTATTAAAACAAAACATTAGGTTATAGAATACCTATAGCATTGGGAATATAGAATATGACATATACATACAACGAAAAAAGGATATATTTTGAAACTTCATTACTAGGGCTGGGCGATAAAACGATAACGATATATATCGCGATAGACATGTGTTCGATATCAATAGAGAATGGGGTCGATAGAATGTTCGATAGTTTAACTTAACTCCGTCAGGAAAAACAGGAAGAAAACACCGGAAGTAAAGCCGACTCATAAGCGCATGGCATTGTGGGGGATGTAGGCGGAGGCTTCTCGACCAATAACAGCCAAGCAGGAACCGCAAAACTTTGTGGGAAATGCAAAAACAACAACAACCGCAGCATGCGTAGCGTCCATGGATCTATAGCTCGTGTTTCAATGCCGTGTCAATGGTTGTGCACGTACGTGCGCGGAATAACATGTGCGGCGGCAGAGGCAGTGGACAGACACGATGTATTCGGCGAAAGCAAGAGATTAACTTTTTCCTCGGGAAGCATGTGCGGCACAGAGAGCCACACGGAGCGGTCACGGGGACACAAGACCCTCAAACAGCTAAACCAGGAGCTAAACCAGGAATAAAAAACCAGGATTAAACCAGGACTAACAACGAGGGACACAGTGTGAACATATTTCTCCAGCCTCATCGCCCCGTGACTGTAAACAAGGCTGCTAAGGTTGGTTAGCCCACACCACAAATATATTTATTTAGGTAAAAAAAAAAACTCAATATATATCGTTATCGACCGATATGAATGACTTATATCGTGATATAGTTTTCAGCCATATCGCCCAGCCCTATTCATTACGCAATATTTTAAAATATTTCTGTATGGCATTAATACTGTAGGCCAGTCTAAGTCAGTGACTTCATAACAGAACTCAAGTAAGGATGTTTTTGTCTGTGAATCACAATCTAAATTGATGTGTTTTTACCGCCCAAAATCACAACGGTAGTCGTTTCAAGGAGCATTATACTTTTTGGATTGCTAACAGCAGATAATTGAACAATTAGAACACATAAGACACACAACAATACAACGCCTCATTGGTCATCGGCTCATATCATAACTGGTGCACCAATGTTCATAAATGTCCTGGACCATCCCTGTCCTTAGACCCTCTGACATAGAAAGGAAAACCTCAAAATCCCAGGAGGATTTAAAAAAAACCACTGCAAGAGAGGGATCCACTCCAATAGACCACCGGGCTATTTTCTTTATGAAATATGGACCAAAGAACAGAAATTGCATTTTTCAAGTAGAATACTATCATTCTACTTCCCTGCATAATGGCACGGTTGAGGTCAACGCTCAGAAATCGCTTTTAGTTTGAAAAGAAACTCGATCTCGCCATCTTTTGCAGTAAGTCTTCACTTAAGTCTTAAGAGTATATCTCAATAGTTCCATGTTCAGAATTACTCAAGGTGCAGTTGTAAGATGTTACATATTTCCTGCATTTGACTGTCCGTTCCACCTTTAAAGAGCGGTGGGCAATAGCAATGAAGCACCAGGGTCTCCACACTTGTCAGAAGGACCTCGCTGAAAGAGGAACCTATTATGCATGCAATGTTTATGGGAAGAATTGGACAGTTGAAAACCCAGAAAATGTCTCTCTTTCTCTTGGGCAAGACACCACCATGACGACAAACAGCTCATCACTTGATGACAATTTAAATTTTGACGTCAGCAATTTCAGAAAAGGTCCACTGGGCTTGAACCATTGATCAAAATCCATTTGAGAGTTTCTGTTTAAGAACTGGCCCCCGCCATGGAAAGCTCGCAAATGGCTCCATATGTGTTTCAAGACGAAGCCCTGAAATGAATTTCAAAGCCGCCAACCGTCTCAGTGTGCGGAGCGACCTTGCTACTGATGTGTCTCTGAGGTCTTACTGCTCTGGGTAATTCATATTGATTGCTCATTGTGTGACAGCAGAAGCAGTAGCAGCGGCCCACTCTCCTCTGCACTGGCCCCTCCTGACCGTGCAGAAGCCCACCTCCACGGGGGTGACTGGGTCTAAAACCTCGTCTTCCGTCTCTCCCTGGGTGGGCGCTACTCCCCGACTGTACACCCTGTCTGCCGATGCCCTGTTTTGATGCCCCCTCCCTCTTCCCTTTCAGAACGCCCAAACCACCCTAAACGCTCTGTCGCACGGATCGCCAAGGACAGAGGTCTTTTTCGCGTTGCCATGGCGATACGGCACGGGAGAAAATGTAAAGGAGAGGGATAGAGAGAGAGAGAGAGAAAGAGAGATAGAGAAGAAGGCGTATGTGCAGCCAAGTGTGATCGAGTCTGCATGTCTGCGAACAGAGAGGAGGGAGGAGAGGGAGGGACGGGGCAGTGGGGCAGACACTCCTCCCCGGGGGGTCGCGTGCGACTGTGTAAAGGTGTGCGCGCAGAGAAAAATGGCTGTCAGTGTGTGGATTTGTGAATGCGCCTAGAGACGAGCGGGCGAAGCGGTCAGAGGCTGTAATCTTTACTATTGTCTTGTCAGTCCACATTGGCAATGCTAGACTTGGTTTTGCCTATATGACAAGTAGCAATTTATCATCAGGCACGGGGTGAATGATTCAACAATGACAAATTATGGGTGAACAATTGCATAGATCATGTTTGAGATTGTGTACCGTAAAATCTGGGGTATCTGGCTATTTATCCTCTAAACAAATATATTTTGCTTGTCCCAACAGAAATTCTTGGGAAAAGTAAAATTTGTGAACAAACCAGAACACAACATACTATCATCTTTTGCATGTGTAAGAGACTTTGGGCCGAGAGCTGATTGGCTGATTTGACTTTTGTGTCTTAAACTGATCTAAAAAGGTGACAGAGGCCCTAATTCCTAATACATGCATGTGAAAACTAGGGATAGTGAACCAAACTCTTGAGAACGAGGATCTAGTTCATGGATTTTATTCCCAGGTTCAACACTTTGTGGTTTGAAAGTTAGGGTACTACTTGTTCCACCGGTTTATTGCCAGGCTCATTTTAGCATGTACAAAATGTGGGGTAATGTTCTGGAAATAAGATGAAACCTTTTGAAAGTAGGCCCAAAGTCTGGACTATAAGCCGGGCTTTTTAAAATGACACACTTGTTCCTCTGGGGACGCGCTAGTGCCTCAAAGCTAGTCTTAATCTAGCAGCCCAAACAGCTGCTTCCTCCTTCAATGTCACATTCACGGTCAACATAGGTAAATGGTAGGACGACATCACCACGCAACGACAATCCGCCCATTAGGGTTGGGTCTGGAGAAAAGACCTTTTGTTGACCATATTTCAGAGACAATTAATTGTTACGCCATTTTTTCACTCATTGTTGGTGGGTGTGTGAAGCCATGTCTTGTCAAATGAATGTGTTTTCTAATTTGCATCATAATGACAACAGAAGCTACTCAAATGACCCAGATCAGAAGTTTCCATTCACCAATGTCGATTTAATGGACACATCATTTGCAAAGTGACTTTTTTGAGATTTTAACCACATTGTTCCTTTATCTGTCACATACCTAGAGTTGTTTTTAGGTCCATCCATGATAATATCAGGAACTTCTGGCTCATGTAATTCAGTCCTGTAAATCTATGATGTCATTGTGTCCACTTGAGACACAATTTCACGTTTTAAAACATCTCATGCTAATGTTTAATGACCAAAAATAATGCAAATATTACCCATTTAACATCTATGACAGCTTGTAGTCTTTTGTGTTAGTTTTGTGGATGAGGTTTTTTATCCTCTCTGATTATAGTAAAGCTGAAAATTCTTCTTTGCAACAAACATCCAGTCTCTGTAGTTCATGCCAGGCGGCCCAGGAATGTACAAACGAGAGATCTTGACAGAGCATGTTATAGTCATTCATAATCAACGACATGTGGCCAAAACAATGGCTGCATGTGAGTGTGTAAACTTTTGAGCACAAACTAAAAGAGTTGAAGCAAAGGAAGCACGAGTGGTTGTTCAGTGTAAAAATAAATGACAGTTTTACATAATTTGTCAGGGAAAAGCCACTCTACCTCCTTTAGCAAAGTAAAAGTGAAGGCTGAAGTCAGTGGGGAAACTGTGTAATGCAGTAATACATTTGTCTCCAGACTTTCAGTGAGCGTGCGAGCCAAAAGTAAAAGTGAATACTCTGCACATCTAAATTAGGATGAGTATGTTTCGCGCTCCTCGAACTATGACACAATGACAACTTTCCCTGTGGGTGTGAGCTTCGTACCTGACAGTTTGAATAGCAGCTCCGAGGCCATTTTCACCGATATGTCCTGGGAGAAGAGGTCGTTCTGTGGGCGGCCCAGAGTCTTGGGGAGGCTGCTCATTGGCTCAGACTTGTCGCTGTTTCCTAAAGTGCTGAAGGCCAACAGGTGAGGGGCCGGGGGGCTGAGCTCTGCGGGGGGCGGGTCCACCTCCATGGGCTCGGCCTTCACCGCAACCTTCTGGTATTGGGAGTCCTTGTTGTTTTCTGCACAACGCACAAGGAGGAAAAAAGCTAGTTAGTGTTGTAGATGCCAAAGTATCATGGAAGCTTGTAAGGGTTGAAGTGAAAATTAGATGCTAAAACTAGTATCAGCACCTAGGACATTTTGGCTGATTACTGATGTTCCAGACCAATAAATTGGTCAGTCCCTAATCTCCACAATGAACTACAACACAGAACACGAATATGAAGGTGTTTTAAAGTGCAGTTGTCCTTGATACAGCTTCATACAATATAGAGCCAAGAACTCAATATTGAACAAAGTGTAAAAAACATATCTCTCTATACATAAAGTAATTCATCTTCAAATTGAGACAAAAAAATGACGGCGTCCTTTTATGTGTGCGTTGCCATGGCAGCCAACAAGCAGTGTGGATCATTATGCTAAGAGCTGCTTATGCGATATTTAGTGACACAGCGAGTCAAAAGCATATAAGAGTTTTAACATTGATTGCAAATGCTTGACACTTTTCGAGTATGAAAAATCGACGTTGCCTATAAATCATGGGCACACAAACAAAGTTCTTAGGTCTTTATTGTATAAAGCTGTATCAAGGACAAGTGCATTTTCACACACCCCTCATATTAAGTATGTATTCTCTGGTGTAGATAACTGTGGATATTAGGGACTAACCCATGTTCTGGTTTGGGACATCTGTAATCGACAAAAACACGTGAAATATTGATCGATTAAAAACAAGCATTGGAAGTCACTGCTCTCACTGCCTCATTTTATCAAACATTATCTCTGCCAATACGGACTTGTTAAGCAGCTTTAAACCGAGGTATAACTTATCAAAATTAACTTGAGATACTGTAAAAGGTCTGAGTGCAGCCATTGAGATCATAGACACAAAATTAAACACACTTACGATAGAATACTTCTTCTCTCTTTTAAGCATAAAACTCCCTAAGACCTGAAGTTGTTTTTTTAGATCTTTACCATGGATCTCAAAGTGTATTTTTTTGATAATCTGTTAGTTGGCTGATTATTCTTTCAATTAATCAATTATGTATATCCTGAAAAGTAAAGGATTCTTTTTTACATTTGACCAAAACAAAGCTCAAGTGATGCCCTTGGAGAACATCTTCAATGAGATGACTTTGTTTGAATAATCAAGAAGACTTTGCATTAATTTAATTCAGCAGTAAATCTAGCATTGTCACAACTCTTTTCACCATGTTCAAGTCTAGGGATGGTTCAAAAACAATGAATTACTAAATTAGTAATTATTAAAACAGTTTCAGTAATTGATAACTTATTGACCAACTTGTTACAGCCCTAAACTACTATTCTATACTGTATTGTTTGTGTTCGGCAGTTCAATCCCTCGTGTCAATTTGAAATCAGACTGGAATGATAATAGTTTAGTTATCATTCCAGCATTATACAGTAGTGTTCTGACATTAGGTCTCTGACATATTGAGATGGTCGTAGTGTTATCTAGAATTGTGTAAAAACAAGAAACACATTTCAGGCATATCCCACAGTGTCCTAATATGTAACCTCCTGTGCTCCAATGTGAGAGGTCTTGGTAAAAGTTTGCTTAACAAACTATGTAAAAAACCTCCTTTGGAATAGTCTTTTCACTGCTGCTTGCTGACCCCTGTCTCTGGCCTCACGCCTGTGGCAGAGGTTAGCATCCTATTCAGCACAAACACATTTGTGTAAATAAATAAGGATTATTTTTGTCTGGTTTTATTGGCAGCAGACGAAAACAAAGTGATATCTTAAGCAAACATTTATCCTTGACCGTACTTTTTAGGAGTGCAACATTTTAATACTTTGTAACTTGCTCTTGTTAACCATAAAAAATACAGATGAAAGACGGAAAATTAGAGAAATTTATGTTATAGACTCATTGCATGAAAGGCGCATATGCCAAGTCTTTGTTAGAATTTTGATGATTATGCCTTATGCAAGTAATCTTTATTTGTAAGCGTTAAAAATGTTGTGGGCATTTTTCATCTCACTACACTTTCTTAAACATTCTTAAAATATTCTAATTTTGTGATTTGCTTTGTGGGAAATTTTTACAATCTGTGAGCCAATTATCAAAAGTATCTGTCATATTTTACTATCACATTGTAATTTGTTTTGAGCAATATTCTCATCTATATTTGACACCTGTTGACATACCAGACCATGAAATCGCCTCAATTAGATAAGTGAGCCAATGCATTTTTGAAACCATGTTGTAACCATTTTCTTTGAAGAGGTCTCAAAACTGCACATAAATGAAACATGGCTGTATTTAAAGATTCATGGACTAGCGCTAAAGGGGGGAAATCCGCACAACAGCCCAAGCATCCTCGCTGACTCCAAAGCTGCGCTGAGCCTGTTAGTGTTGTGTGACAATCAGAAGAGGGCATGGCGAGGTCACAGGGGGAGGGCTCACTACGCTATGTTTTCAACCTAGTACCTAGACACGCGAGCAAATGTTTATTCCTGGCCATTTAGATGATGTATGTATTTAAGAAAGAACGGTAAAGGGCTTGGGTTGTTGATTTTGGTTTAGCTGGGGGTGCATAACGTTTCTTTCTAAAAAATGTAGCTAAAATCTGGAAGAGTCTTACTGAATAGTAGTAAGCTTTATTTATATACCACCTTTTCACTGCATATCTGAGTCTCAAAGCGGTTTACAATTGTTATTTTTTTGGGCATTTGTCTCTCACTCCACACAGAGATGGGAGCAGGGTCACCAGAACAGGAGGCGCATGCCAGACCTATTGTACATATTTTTAGTGGTAGGGGAAACCGGAGTACCCGGAGGAAACCTACGCAGACACGGGGAGAACATGCAAACTCCACTGCTGAGAGGCGAGAGTGCTATCCACTCAGCCAATCGAATCCCCCTTTTCCCGAAGAGACCATTTTGACCATTAAAGTGATAGTCTGGAACTAAAAAGGAATAACAGATTTTAAGAATTGTATTAAATTGACCTCCTGGCCTTAAATGTTTATATAAAATAAGTCATTTTATGAATTCTAATATCACGGGTAAGTCCCGCCTGCCTTCTCTTAGCTATAGCTCAAAATCCACGATGTCGTCCACGTTAACCTATCAAGTTATGCCAAGGGCTGTCAATCATCGGCGCTGATGCTCGCAGCTGCGCGCATGCTCAGTTGTTTGTTTTTGTGGAGCCTCTGAATCAAGCCTCCATTAGGCTCTGAAACTACATGAAAACTGAACAAAGAATTCTGAACATCCGCGCTGAGTTACCCATTTATATACTGAACCTATATCCATAATCATTTATATACTGAACCTATATCCATAATCATTTATATACTGAACCTATATCCATAATCATTTATATACTGAACCTATATCCATAATCATTTATATACTGAACCTATATCCATAATCATTTATATACTGAACCTATATCCATAATCATTTATATACTGAACCTATATCCATAATCAGATCCTCTGCAGATGTGTCCTACAATGTTCAATTAATGATAATAGCTACTTCCGAGTTTACCGTGATCGCATTTTTTGTGCATTAAAACATTATTTTTTTCATGAAAACGTTAACGTTATCTGAAAACCTCTGTGCATGTGTATTAATAATGTATATTAAAATGTGTTCTCAGATCAACATTTAAATGTGTTGATTGATTGTTACTGAAACGTAGGCGTAGACCAATCAGAAAGGAAGGGGGAAGGAGTTTGGGTTTTTTTCAAATCATGTATCTCTCTCTTTTTTTCAGAAAAACTCCAGACAATCACTTTAAAAACAAGACATTTACACACTTCCTAATATAGTTGTATGCAGTTACTCCTCTGTTTGTGCGTTTAAGATTAACAAAGAAGATAAGAAGATAAGATTAACAAAGAAGTCTGGTAAATCCAATCCATTTCATTAATAACATCCCTATTAATGCCTACTAGCACTTGATTCTTAAACTCTGCTCTGACAACAGCCCTAAGCATTTCTATGATAAGTCCTGTGTATTTCCCTGCACTTCCTTGTGTCACTTCTCTCTGTTCACATAAAACAGATTGAAGCAGGAATGTATGCATCAGTTCTGGAGTATCAACAGCAGATAAATCTGTGTCCACATCTCTTCCTGCACAAGCTCTAACGATACAATAACACAAATGCATTGGGCGCAGTACTTTATAGGCTATACATATGGGTGGTTTGGAAAATTAGGTGCCCCAGCTTTAAAGCCTCAGGGACAAATTTGAGGGTGTAAAACATGATGCATGCTCACTGAAGCAAACAGGAAGGCACAGAGCAGCTTTGGAAAGTGAATGTAGCCAGAATGTGACTTTGTTTGTGCTAAGTGGAGGTGATGACCAACAATGGGCTAAATGGGAACTACAAACAGCCCCGCTCACTGTTAGCCAGAGGTCAAAAGGTGAGGCTAAAAATAGGCACCATGGCACCGGTGTGGAATGTCCTGGGTTGATCTGCACAAATGAGCTTGCGTTATTGTTTTGGACAACAGCTGTGCAAACTACTGTACAGTAAATTAACATTGTATAATTCAATTCCATATCCAAACAATAAACAAAGCAGTATGTGACCTTAGCCAATACACAAGCAATTGTATTAGCAAGATGTGATAAAATGTTTTCAAAAATCTGTATCATAATTAATTTACGCTCCATTACTTCTCCATAATTTTGAATATTAGTTACTACAATTCTGAACAAGATCCCAATAAATGTTGTTTTAATACATTTAGTACCAATACTGCTTATGCTCATGATTAAAGCTGGAGTACATCATTTTGTATTTTGTTTAATAAATGTGTTTTTCTTTGTACCAACAGCATTTGTTTCAACCACATCAAACCACAACATGCTGTCTTTGTCTCATTATGTAATCTTTTACATTCGGAGAGCTGAAAAAGCTTAATGTCTCTGTACATTGTCCCTTAGAATAAAGACTAAACTAAAAAACTAAACTAAAAATAAAAACGCAAGAGGCCAAAACCACATGCGCATGAAAACTAGTGGTGAATCC